GTCAAAATTTACCACCCCCATATCTCGGTCAAATCTCATCCGATTTTCACGAAGTTTGGCTTTTTCTTTATGGTTTTCCCTCTAGATTAATCTGGCATTTAAATCTCAACACCGATTTTTTGGTCGAAATTCATGTCCAAATCTTACCCCAAGATTCGTATATAGACATGGGTCAAAAATTACCACACCCATAACTCGGTCAAATCTCATCCGATTTTCACGAAGTTTGCCTTTTTCTTCATGGTTTTCCCTCTAGATTAATCTGGCATTTAAATCTCGACACCGATTTTTTGGTCGAAATTCATGTCCAAATCTTACCCCAAGATTCGTATATAGACATGGGTCAAAATTTACCACCCCCATATCTCGGCCAAATCTTATCCGATTTTCACGAAGTTTGGCTTTTTCTTCATGGTTTTCCCTCTAGATTAATCTGGCATTTAAATCTCGACACCGATTTTTTGGTCGAAATTCATGTCCAAATCTTACCCCAAGATTCGTATATAGACATGGGTCAAAATTTACCACCCCCATAACTCGGTCAAATCTTATCCGATTTTCAGGAAGTTTGGCTTTTTCTTCATGGTTTTCCCTCTAGATTAATCTGGCATTTAAATCTCGACACCGATTTTTTGGTCGAAATTCATGTCCAAATCTTACCCCAAGATTCGTATATAGACATGGGTCAAAATTTACCACCCCCATATCTCGGCCAAATCTTATCCGATTTTCACGAAGTTTGGCTTTTTCTTCATGGTTTTCCCTCTAGATTAATCTGGCATTCAACTCTCGACACCGATTTTTTGGTCGAAATTCATGTCCAAATCTTACCCCAAGATTCGTATATAGACATGGGTCAAAATTTACCTGCCCCATATCTCGGTCAAATCTCATCCGATTTTCACGAAGTTTGGCTTTTTCTTCATGGTTTTCCCTCTAGATTAATGTGGCATTCACATCTCGACACCGATTTTTTGGTCGAAATTCATGTCCAAATCTTACCCCAAGATTCGTATATAGACATGGGTCAAAATTTACCGCCCCCATATCTCGGCCAAATCTCATCCGATTTTCACGAAGTTTGGCTTTTTCTTCATGGTTTTCCCTCTAGATTAATCTGGCATTTAAATCTCGACACCGATTTTTTGGTCGAAATTCATGTCCAAATCTTACCCCAAGATTCGTATATAGACATGGGTCAAAAATTACCACACCCATAACTCGGTCAAATCTCATCCGATTTTCACGAAGTTTGCCTTTTTCTTCATGGTTTTCCCTCTAGATTAATCTGGCATTTAAATCTCGACACCGATTTTTTGGTCGAAATTCATGTCCAAATCTTACCCCAAGATTCGTATATAGACATGGGTCAAAATTTACCACCCCCATATCTCGGCCAAATCTTATCCGATTTTCACGAAGTTTGGCTCTTTCTTCATGGTTTTCCCTCTAGATTAATCTGGCATTTAAATCTCTACACCGATTTTTTGGTCGAAATTCATGTCCAAATCTTACCCCAAGATTCGTATATAGACATGGGTCAAAAATTACCACCCCCATATCTCGGTCAAATCTCATCCGATTTTCACGAAGTTTGGCTTTTTCTTCATGGTTTTCTCTCTAGATTAATCTGGCATTTAAATCTCGTCACCGATTTTTTGGTCGAAATTCATGTCCAAATCTTACCCCAAGATTCGTATATAGACATGGGTCAAAATTTACCACCCCCATATCTCGGCCAAATCTCATCCGATTTTCACGAAGTTTGGCTTTTTCTTCATGGTTTTCCCTCTAGATTAATGTGGCATTCAAATCTCGACACCGATTTTTTGGTCGAAATTCATGTCCAAATCTCACCGCAAGATTCGTATATAGACATGGGTCAAAATTTACCACCCCCATATCTCGGCCAAATCTCATCCGATTTTCACGAAGTTTGGCTTTTTCTTTATGGTTTTCCCTCTAGATTAATGTGGCATTCAAATCTCGACACCGATTTTTTGGTCGAAATTCATGTCCAAATCTCACCGCAAGATTCGTATATAGACATGGGTCAAAATTTACCACCCCCATATCTCGGCCAAATCTCGACAAAGAGCTAGAGACTTAATAAGAACTAGAGTCACCAAACTTGACAGATAGCTTCTAAAATAGAATATATATATGCATTTGATGTTGGAAGAAGAGGGTTCAGGGTATCCCCTAGTCGGGAGCTCCCGACTAGAACCTCTTACTTGTTTTTTTTTTGGGTTCATGTGTTGTTTGGCTAATTGAAACTTATGGAAATTTTGTTGGGCCCAGGCTCTTAATTAATAAGCAAAAGTCCGGTTCGATTTTATGAGCTTATCAATGGACGAGCTGCCACCCCCCCTCCCCCTCCACCCTCTTAGCCACCTTCCCCCATGCCTTCTTGTGACTCCGCTTTTTATGGGCAAAAACTTGCAATGAATATTTATGCGCCTTGCTTTGGGGCTGTGTGGGGGCTTTTGTTGTTGTTGTTTGTTGTGGGTGCAGGCAGTAGCCAACAGCTGTTGACAGCCGCACCAGTTGCCCAAAATAGCATTTCTTATGAAAAGGGGGGCGCAACACACCCTTCCCCTCCCCCCTCCCATAAACTGGCAGCAGCTCTTCGTGTGCTGTTTGGGCTCTAATTTTATTAACACGTTCATCATTCTATGCCACTGCCACTGCCACTGGCTGTGGCACAAGTGGCGCCTTCGATGGGGCAACCACCCCCTGCCCTCTGCACCCCTCCCCCACTTATACAATTATTCCCCCCCCTCCCCTCGCAGCACTTGTCTGGCGCGCAGAGGACGGCAATCAGTCTGCCACAGCAGGCCCGGCTGCTCATTTGGCGCCTGATTTCTGGCACAACGTCACGACGTCGTCGAGAAATATGATGAGAATGAGGAGTGGGAGGAGAAGGAGGCGTATGGGGAGGAGGCCTGTGGATAAGGACGGCAGTCGGGCTCCGTCTGCCGCCTGCTCCACAATCCATTTTTGGCGGCGGCATTTTAATATTGTATTATGTTTGCCTGATGCCTGGGCGAATTAATAAAAATTATTGCATATATTTGTAATTCTGAGCGAGCTTCAGCTTTATTGCTGAGCGGGAGGGGAGGGGTGGCAAATGGGAGCAGCTTCCAGCTTCCGATGCCCGTCTGTTGTGTGGCGCGTGCTGCTGCCTTTTTATTGTCCCCCCCAGAAAACATAGGGTATACAATGGCTTTTCCTATGTGCAAACATTTTCTATTAAAAGAGGCAACATTTTTGATTAGCATACAAAGTGGTGACAGCGAGAGAGAGAGAGAGAGAGAGAGAAGGAGTGTGGCAGAAGGAGTTGAGAGGGAGTAGAGAGAAGAGTTATCCATAGTGAAGTTAGGGTATACAATGTGTGTATATAAAGGCAACTGCAATGGAGTTCTTTAATCCCCTTCCTCTTCTCAACTTTGCCTCAAAATCGATACTCTGCGATTGTTCAAGTGTGGAGACAGAGAGAGAAAGACAGCGAGAGAGGAGAGTGAAAGCGAGCGAGAGAGGGAGAAGAGTTATTCCCAGTGTAGTTAGGGTATATAAAGTGTGTGTAGTATATAAAGCCAAAAGTCAATTGGACACGAGTTCTTTAATCACCTTACTCTTATTAACGTTGACCTATGCTTAAAAACTCTGCTTCAAACTGGAGACAGAGAAAGGGAAAGAGAGCGAGAGAGGGCGACCTTCCTCTTAACAACTTGCCTCAAAATCGATGCTCTCCGTTTGTTGGCCTCTTGAGCCGCAATTGTCTGGCTGTTTGTAAAGTCGTAACTATATAACTGAGTTTATATATCGTCAAATACCTACATCTTATGGCTAAGCTCGCCCGTCAACATTTTAAAAGATTTTATTTACACTAGAAGCTGTTGTCATTCATTATATTTGCACTAAACCAAAACGATTTATTGCAAGCGCTTGTCCCAGCCACTTGCAGCCAAGTATCTGTAGCTGTATCTATAGATATATATGTATATGTATCTGTATCTATAGCTGTAGCTGTATCTGTATCTGTATCTTTAGCTGTAGCTGTAGCTGTATCTGTGAGCTGTCGTCACGTCACGTCGTGATGTTACTTTTTATCGATTACATTTCACGCCAAAAGAGCAGCTGAGTTGGGCGCGGGAGGAGTTGGCAGCCGGTTGTTGACTCTGCTGATTTATTGTTGCATGCAACGGAGTACACGCCCCACTCCCCTCTTCGTCGCAGCTCAGCTGCTGTTCCGCATTCTCGCATTGCCATATAGAGCTTTTCTCTAGTCTGGCCTGGTCGGTTCCGCGATGCTGCGTCTGCTTGGGTCTGTGTGTCTCTCTGTCTGTGCCCTCGGCACACCTCTTGCGCCTCTAATCAATTTCAGTTAAACTCCCACAAACCCCCCACCCTTTCCCTAGCCCTACCCATGACCCACCACCAAGCAATTTATAGTTTATATACCCTTGTAAGGGGTATCATGAAATGTTTAGCCAGTTGAAGAAGACATCTTCGAGCATATCAGGGATATATTTGCTTGTTTCGTATCAACAGACGAGTCAATGTACCCATTTCCTAGTTCTACCCTATACCCCACAGCAAAAGCTGATACACATCGGAATATATCACTATATCACACATTCCTCTACGAAGTATGGATCCAAAAATGTGTTTTTGTCGAACCAAATTTTCTTGTATTCATCTTGAATTTCATTCCCAAACTTGGCAATTAGCAGCTTCTATATTCAACCCCTCGTGTCGGTAAGGGTATTCAATCTTCGGCTTGCCATATCTAGACATTTTCTCTGGCTTTTTGTCACTTTCCATCAGCTGTCGACGGCGGCGTTGATTGCCGCTGTGATATCTGGCAATTAAATTGTCGTTCTTAATCATCGACCAAGTGCACTAATTTATTGTGCTTAATTACTTTCGCATTTCATTTAATATATAAATTACAACCCCAACCCCTATCCCACTATTTTTAAATGCACTTTTTTCAGAGCCAATGCGGGTCACCAACATTCGAGAAGGAGCTGCGCGAGCAAATTGAGAAGTAAGTGATCAATTTTCCTATATATTTTACACATACGTGTGTGTGTGTGTGTGTGTGTTTGTTGTGTGTGAAAATTTCAGCTTAAATAGCATGTTTTCCCTTTTATATTCATTTGTTTTTTCCAATCTACACTAGACAACAAAACCAACCATAAATTATTCCCTCTACTCTTTTGCCGAACTCTATGCTTTTTTTTTGGTTCCCATTGAATATTAGGCTATCCTACATGGTCACTTTTGATTAAATAGTTTTAAACTATGCGGCACAGTTCGTTTTTTTCCCATGCCTTGTCCTCCATGGTCACTTTGTAGGGCATCAAAGCTTTGATAGCCTAGTGAAGGGCTTGTTAAATGGAATGTTGTACAAATATTTGTTTATGCAAGCTCTTAAGTGGCCTGTAATTGTTTCGTCTGTTTGTGGAATTCGAAGCATTCCAGTTGCTTATCTAGCGGCTTATCAGAGGCTTACCTCTTGAATAAACTTCAACAGAATTGGAGCAAAGCAACGGATACTTGATATGGTCACACTGGCCTACAAAATACGCGTATTTACGTTGTTCGGTTAAAAACGAAAGACGAACGAGTAGCTTAGCACGCAGGAAGTTTGAAGTTGGCAGCCCCGAGAAGAGGATAAATAAACAAGAGGGGGGGAATACAAAAACAATACTTGATTCGAGCCCGAAGTCTTGATGGTCGCGTGCCCAACCAAAGGTGGAGTTGCAATTAGAACTCTGCAAGGCTAACGCCTGGCCCCCTGGCCATGTTACTCCAATGTTAATGGAGTTAGCGTATTTCATAGGTTCAAAGTAAGATAAAGATTTCTCAGGAACTTACCGATATATTTTCTTCTACGGCCTTTTAAATCACAACAGCAATGAGCTTAAGATTAACACAATGGCGGCCAAACATGCCAAACAGTCTGCCCGTACATTCAAAAGGCAAAAATACATCCTTTAAAAAATACTCAATACCAAACAATCGATAACTTAAGTCGTCCCGCAACACTGATCATTCGTGTGCCGGAATCTGCTAAAGAGCAGGGTTGTAATTTATGAAAATACAAAAAGCCACACATAAGGGAATTATGCAAATAATATGTTGGCCACGGACTTAAATATTTACGAGCGCTTGCCAAAAGCCTTATGTTTTATGCATTCCATTTGGAAAACTACACGAGAAGCAAGTAAATTGTAATACCCCCTCTCCCCCACCCCCCTTTTCACTGCACAGCTTGATAATGTATGTGCTTGTTTTTGTGGATTTTCCGCCACATAATTATGCAATTTTAGAAGAGTTTTCGCGCTGGCTGCAGAAACAAAGAGAAAAACCAAGGAAAAGAAAAATATTTCATACAAATTCGTGACTAAGAACACCTCCTCCGAACTGAGCGCCATTACGCACCGAGAACTGGCAACTGGGAGCTGAGCACCCGGGCCGGGGCCAGGTCTTCGCGTTAGCCAAGTTAACGGGCACTGAATGCAATTTTCCAAATTACTGAGCAGCGGCCCTGACAGCCGGTGCCGGGGCCAAAGCGAATGGCTTGGAAAGCCAGCTGCCGGAGAGATTAAGGCTGAGGCGAAGCAGAAGGAGAAGGCGAAGGAAGCGGCAGCAGCAGCCAGGCAGGAAGCATTTATTTACAGTCGACAGGGCTCGAGCCTGCGAGAGCAGCCCATCAATCAGTCGGCAGCAGAAACGGGCAGAGAACGCTGCTTCAAATTCTGGCCTAAAACCTAATTACGCCAATTCAAATTCGCGCCTACTTTTGCCTGACCAAAAAGCCTTTTCTTTAAGTTAACCTTTATCTGCCACACAAACACACACACACACACGCACGAATGATTTGCAACTAGTTTTTCATTTCTACAACATTTATTTTTTGTCTCTTCTACACACTGCTTGCTCCGCTTCTCTCTGTCTCTTTCACTCCAACGCGAACTCGTCCGCGCTTTCAGCATGAATCGCATTATGAAATCCAAAGAACGCAAACAACTGCAAACATGCCGGGATCACAAGGCTCTCCAGGTATGTACCATTTATTTATATAAATATATATATATATATATATATTATATTTATTCCAGCTTGTGGGGGGGCTTGGGTTGGATTTGCCACTGCTAATGTTGTGCTTTGCGTGCTGTAGTAGAAGCTGCGAGGGGAGCTCTTGAAGTTATCAGCTTTAAAAGCTAACAGATTTGTTTGTTTTTCGTGGAAAACAAATGCTCTGCGCGGCAGCTCCTAATTAACTTTTGTCTAGTTCGAGCTTTGTACATGATATTCCCATAAGTTTTGTAGAGTAACCTCCTTGGAGGTCCTCTAGAAGATACAAACATTTCAGCTTCAATCTCTTTGCTTTCACCTCGCAAGCTAAACATACCCCACATTATTTATGTGAAATACATTCTTGATAACCTCTAGCTTTTATAGACTTGCATATTTCAGCAATTCACAGTTTAAATAGGGCGTATAAACCAAATATCAAGGCTCTACCATTAAAAAGAGTTCACTTCTTTCAGTTCTTGGAGCTATTAGAGAAGATAATCTACTAACCAGTCTAAGTCCATCCAGTTCTTAAAGTTGTCGAGCTATGCTCCAAAAGCCAAGTCTCTAGCTGAGTTTCAGACAGTCTGGAAGACAGTTGGAGCAAGTTTTGACAAGTTCAAACTGCTTGAGCCACCCTCGCCGTGCACAGCATGTGGAAAATACAATTTGCACTGTGGCAAAGAGTTTTCAGTTTTTCCGCTTAATGTTTGAAGTCGTGGTTGGAGTCTGTAAGTCTGGACTGGGGAGGCGCGTATCGAAGACGCAAACGCAGACAAAGACGAAGACGAAGTCTCAACGAACTCATAAATAAACGCATAAATTCATTTTTAAGAACAATGTTTCCCCTCGCTCCCATTCGGCGCATACAAATTGTCGCTTATCTGGGCCGGCTGGACGAGATGGGGCTGAGGCTAACATTGAGGCTGAAACCGAAACAGAAAAAGCAACAGCAACAGCAACTGCGACTAAGGCTGAGGCTGAGACTGAGACTACGTGTTGAAATTGTTTTGCCTGGCACACTGTTTTTTTATATACCCTGTAGCCAATGCAAATGGGGGCAAAATGGCATAAGGAAGTCTTCAATAGGCAGAAGCTGGTGTCTTCGACTTTGTATAAATACAATATAAAAATATATGGGTTCTCACATTTCAAACGCAGAGGAATTTCATTTCTTCTATTTTGAAAGTATATCTTGATTCTGGCAAAGCATGTTTTCTGCTTTTTAAGAGTTAGAGCTAGGATTTTTTTATTTTTAAATACTTGGCTGTTATCTATAAGTCCTGAAAATTTCATAGCTTTCGGGGAATAAACATTGAAGTTATTAAAGATTAACTTTTTTCTATGATCAAGAGAAAGTTGGGTATATTCCGGTACAACTATTCTCCTCCTTTCTTAGAGCTAGAGCTAGAATTTTTGGAATATACATATATTTAAGCCCTCAAGATCGGAGATGAAACATTGAAGTTATTTAAGATTACGTTTTACCTATGGTAAAAGTTCGCTTTTAGCTGGGTATCTCCTCGTCGAGCACTCTCCTCTACAAAACTTCTTATTCTATTTTCTTCACTTGTGCGTCTCTTACTTATTTTTTATTTTTGTGGAAATTGATTGAGCGTTTGCATTAGAGACGCTTCACTGCGCTCCAATGCGGCAAAGGCTGGCCCACGACCCACTCCCAGTTTCCAGCTCCCCAGCTCCAGGCGGCGCACAGTGGGTGGCTGTTAAGATTTGATACCAAATTGTTTTAACTGAGCTTAAAGCTAAGTTAAACTCATTTTTTTTGTTAAAGCGACTAATGAAGCCCAAGGTTTTCCACACACATTTCAAACTTACGTTAACTCTCAATAGCTGCATTGACCTTCGCGCCAGCTAACAAGACGGAGATCGGGCCGGGGGGAGGGGCAATTTGGATGCATGTAACTATTCATTTAGCACTTCAGTTTGTGGCCAGGCCAAGCGAAGTGTTTCATAAATTGAGGCAATGGGCGACCCGCGTCAATGCAAGTGTGACAGCTTAACTGAACAAGCAAAGGCTGCAAGCCGGTTCGAATCCGCTGTTTAATTTTACTAGCAGATGAACCTTGAAGTAAATTGGGAGTCCAAACAAATGGAGCAAGCTAAAGCCAAGCCGATCCATGATTAAAGAAAGCCACGACTCGAACTTTGTTTCTCTTTGGTGAGACGTTGGCTCGTCCCCTGCATTGAACCAGCGACTACTATTTCTTGTAGCTTAAAACCACGCTCAAATCTAATAAATCTCTTTCTTTTCGTTTCCTTCTCCTGCCTTCGCCCAGACACGCTTCGCGCGCCAGGAGAGTCTACTCCACACGATGCAGCAAGAGAATCGCGCGCTCCTCACTAGGATTAGGCAATACGAGCACTGCCTGGACGATGTGATGCGCAAGGTTGTCGATGCGATTGTCGCCGAGGATAATCTCCGCGAGGAGGTGAGCATGCTGAAGAGTCGCGTGCGCGATCTGGAGGCACAGAATGCGGCGCTGTCGGCGAGTCCGGTCAAGGGACGCGACGAGGGCTACTGCACGATGAGCAGCGGCCAGCCGCAGCCGTCGAATGGTCATCTGGAGGATTTGCCGGAGGAGCCGGAGCAGTGGCTGCTGCCAGCGGAGCCCTGCTCCACGGAAATGGAGGACTGGAGCATGTCGCAGGAGGAGCTGGCTGTGATAACCTTCGACGATGAGCGCGAACAGCTGCAGCTGCAGCGCCGCAAGCGGGAGCACGACTGGCTCTGGCCCTCGAGCGACTTCATCAATTCGACAACCGTCGAGACCGACGACTCCGTTGCCGATGGCATTGCCCAGCTGCTGCAGCAGAAGGTACTTGCTGCACTGCCTCCAACGGGTTTCCTTTAACAAAGATTTTCAATTTCTTGCAGCTCGTCTACTCGGAGGATGAGGAGGTGGCCTGCACGGACTTTACCAACGATTTTTACAAGCTGGTCAACATACGCTCCAATTCATCGCGCAGCCTCTTCTCCTATCTGGAGGGCGAGACCGACGATGAGGATGAGGACGAGGAGGACGAGCAGGACTCCAGCATGTCGGAGAGTCAGACCAAGGCGCGCGTCAGTCCCACGCCCAGCGAGGCGGGTCGCGCACAGCTGACCAGCTGCTCCTCCAGCGAAACCGATGATCACTCACTGGCCCAACAGCCGGCGCAGGTGGTGGAGGAGGAGGAGCACGACTATGCCGTGATCGAGGAGTGCCGAGTCGACGATGTGCCGGCGCCTGCTCTGAACGAACAGCAATGCATAGCACAGATCATCAAGAGCGAACTGCGCAGGCCAAACCCCGTGCTGGTCAAGTCGAAGTCGGTGCTGGAGGAGCAGGAGCCCACCTGCATACTGCGCCACAATCAGCGGCGCGAACTCGAGTCCAGCGTGGTGCGCAGCGACAGCATCAGCTGCGCTCTGATGGCCAAAATGGCCAAGGAGGCGCCACCCGCGCCGGCGGTGGTATCCAAGCTGAAGGAGCGCCTGCTGCAGCGGCATGCGCCGCCGGCGCCGGCCAACTCCTGGCGGCGCAGCAATGGCTGGAAGCGTGTCACCTCGCCGGTTGCCGTTGCACCAAAGAAGGTAGGTGACTCACCTCATTTTGAAAGAGATTTTTTTATATATACATTTGCCTTGCAGGAAACAAAGTCAACGGAGTTGCCAAAGAGCTGCCAGCAGAAGGCGCCGCCCACACGAATTCCAACGTGCATACACACATCCTCAACATCCACGAGCTCATCCTCCAGCTCCTCGTCGCCATCGTCACCGTCGCCACAACAGACGACGACGACGGCGACGCCGCAGAAACCGCCAGCGCAGCAGCAACAGCAGCCACAGCGAAAATCCAAAATTCCGCCACCCGTTCCCGTGCGTCGTTCCTATGCCAGCTAAAAAAAAGAGATGCCACGCCCCCCCCCCCCCCCCCCCCCCCCCCCCCCCCACAAACATAATCTCATACGAGCGACAAAACAGGAGCCAAATGCTCCGCAATATATTTAAACATTTAAAAAGACTAAATTGTGATATATATTCAAACTAAAACGAGAGAGGAAGAGAGAGAAAGGGAAGCAGGAGCAAACATTAATTGTGCATTCACGCATCAGTGTTGCCAATATAGCTATATTCCAGCTAAATGTAGCTATTTCTGGCACATCATATATTATAGTATATACATATGTATGCATAGGTTTTTTGGATAATGTTTATATATTATGATTGTTCCAATGTATTCTCACTCGCTCGACCTGCTCTATACGCTTTTGTAGAGCAGCGCTCGCAGCGTGCCCGAGACGTATGTGTTCCCAAATTGCATTTCCAACCGATAAAAAACTTCAGAAAATTCAAAAAAAATCTATATAATCTGTATACAATATTTGCATTATTTCTATGGAATAGCCAAAACTTTGCAAAGTGTAAACTAAACTAAAACTAAAGCCCAAACAGACTACTCAAACTATTAGCTATCGTACAGAAAAGAATACTTATATATATATATATATATTAAAAAAATGTAGTCTTCCGCACAAAATCAAGTGTATTTAGAGCATGTACTAATTATATAGATTTGTAGAGAGATGGGTGAAATGCAGCAACAAAATATAAAGCTACAATAGATATACAGATATATATATATATATGGTTTCGAAGCGAACGTAAAACAAGGCGACAACAATAAACTGTAAATAGATATATATATATATGTAATACAGCTCTTCTTCTACTCTCTAGTTAGTCTCTTTAAGTAGCAACCGATGTGAATTACTGGCTCGGTTTTTGCAATCACATCCTAAGTACGAGTTATATATATATACAGTATATACGAACTATAGCGAACGCACTACGCTCGACAAATGAGAAATTATAAATTTAAGCTCGTATAAAACATTATAAATGTATTTTCTTAGCGTAGCAAGTACAAAAGTAAACAATAAACAAAAAGAGTTACGACAAAATAAATTATTAAACCAATTAGCAATGTGTTTGCAATTAACAATTGTATAAAAAATAACTAATAACTATTGCTTTCATATTTTACAAGTATAAACATAATCTTACAAAAACATATTTAAAAATGAAAACTATTACAGATAGAAGATATTCATTAGCCTAAGCACTTGACCAAAATAAGTTCTAAACGTTTTTGTAGCTGGAAAGCGTTTAAACGCAGCTCGGGCTGGCTCAGCCAGCAGCTTTTGTACAGCTCGCTATAAGCACTTTCCAGGCACGTGGCCGGAATCGTTGATGGATCATCAAAATACTCTGTTAATCTCGGCTGTTTGCGCTGTTTATGCCGCTTGTGCACACGTCCATGTGTAGCATCAAAGCTCAGATTGCGACGCGCCTTTTTGTATAAGTCTCTTGAGAGCACCACGTCCAGATGTGGATTTATTTCATTCACGTAGCTCAGATCCGTAGCGTTACTCCTCCAGCTCTTGGCACAGTAGCACCCGTTCAAAGGCAGGCCTAGCTGTAGGGCCTCGAGCAGCGCAAAGTTATCGGGGCGCAGTTCGTGTTTAACCACCTGATATGCAATGGACTCGTTGCAGTTGAGCGTATAAAAGGGCAAGCGGCGAGCCTGCAACTGCCACATGCTAATGCCCAAGGAGTAAATGTCCGATGCGCTGCTCAACGGCGCCGCACACAAAGCCTCTGGCGACATGTACCGCAGCGTGCCCTTTGCGCTGCTCGGCTCAGCACACGACTCGCCCATCCGAATGGAGCAGCCAAAGTCGCATAGCTTGCAAATATAGCTGCGCTTATACTGGCCCAGTTTGCCAAGCCCCTTCGACTTTGTGCCCAGGGCAACGAGCACATTTGATGGCTTCACATCCAAATGCAGCAATTGCCGACGATGACAGTAACGCAAAGCGGCCAGAATATCGAGCGATATGCTGAAAAAGTACACAATATTATAGATGTAAGTATGAACATATATATAAGAGCCCTGCATCGAGTCAGGAACATGGTCGAACCGACCTGAGCAGAACGAACTTCGTTTGTATTCATTTAAATACTTTTTTAACCGGCGCAAGGCTCTTATATGTATTCAACTGCAACTCTTACAGCACTCTGTGCACAAGCGGAAGCGTGAGCGTATCTGTGACACGCTGCAGGCACAGCCCAATGGGTCGCTCCATGATGAGCAAACCGAACTCTGGCGTGGATTCCAGTTTTATCAGTCGCACAATATTCTTGTGCTTCCAGTTCAAGACATGCGCCTCATTGTGCAATGTGGAAATGGCGCCGGTTTTCACTATTTTCAGGGCTACGGCGTGCTCTATTAATACATCAAATGATTAAATGGCGTGCAAACGGCAGACATTTCCTTGGCATACCACGATATATGGCTTTGAAGACTGTGCCATAGGCGCCACGCCCCAAAATCTGACACCTGTTGGGCCTAATCGCCGGTGGGCCATCCTTGAGCAGCTCAGTGCGCATTGGTGTGGTCAACACCAGCGCATTTTTTTTGTTAGCAGCCTTTAAAAAAGACCTGCAATCGGGTTTTAATTAATTTGAAATGCATTTAATTCGTGTTCTTACATTTTTAAGATGCCGTTATATGTCAGCTGATAAAAGTGTGACAGTGTTGCGATCGTACTGAAATAAATACTAAAAAAAATACCGCAGTGTTTTAAAACTATAGCAGGCTTAGCTTCGTTATATTTAGAGACTAATTAATGATAGTACACACTCTTTTACTTAAAGTAACCGTTCACAATAGTTTTTCTTTTTTTTTTTTGTTGTTTTTTTTCTTAAGGATGCTTCGAATTCTTTTGCTCGTTTAGCACACTGGCAGCATAAGCCTCATACTACAAGTAAAAATGGTAAATACAATAAATATATATAACACTTGATGGAGGCTTCATTTTGGGCTTAATACTATAAAAATAAATAAGCTTTATGTATCGTCGTCTTCTGCTTGAATTTCCGAGCTAAAGTTTCTAAGCGCGCTCCCCGTGTAATCTCTCCGTCTCGCAGCGCAAGACCTGCAATTGAAAAAAAGGATTCAAATAATTATATAATTTAGAACGCCGTCATGATGTTGTTGCATTGTGAAACCCACTCGAAAGGCATCTTGTATTTTGTCAGTTATGAGTTTTCGTGCCACAGGCTCCGGCACACGTGTATCCTTAAGGCCCTGCACAAATGCGTTCAGATCCAGGGGCTCGCCAATGTTTATGGTGACCTTCTTGCCCCAGTGCAACTTGTACGGCTCCACATTGGGCAGAACACTGTCCATGCCCTCGTGCCACATGGGCACAATGATCGGTATGCGTGGCGATTCATAGATTATGCGACCCACGCCCCATTTCAGACGCAAATCCTCCTTCTCCATGTTCACCTTGCCCTCGGGAAACACGTGCACCCAGTGACCCAAGGCGCACTTCTCGATGCACAGATTGATTGCCTCCTGGTAGACGCCATGGCCCCGCACAACCGGTATGCATTTGCCTGCAAGCCACACACAGATATGTATCAATTTAATGATTGTCTTCTAAATTAATGGTTAAATATATTTTAGGTAAATGCCTTCACTTACCGTACATAAAGAACATGGCGTGCATCTTCTTGGTGAAGCATATGTCGTGGGCGGCCATGGACCATCTGATGCGAAATGTATTGCACACATAACGAATGGGCAAAGTGCCCCAGATGCCGGGATCATCGAAGCAGGAATAATGATTGGAGACGGTCACTAAGGGTATGCCCTTGGGTCGTTTGGCAACAGCTTTCATTAGACGCTCCTTGTTATGGACTTTCGTTTTATTCATTAGTACTGAGGAAGTCAACAAACGTAGCGATTAGCTCTTATATCATAATTATAATTTTAATTGTAGGAGAGTGCCATTTTTGACAATGCTCGACTAGGAAATACCTTGCACTGCCACAAATTCTGGCAAATTTTGCTCAGTAAGAAAACAGGAAGAACAGAAGCATGACCATGATGGTCCACACAAGGCAAATTCGCGCCAAAAATAAACACTTGGTCTAAATATGTACAAGATAAAGTGAAGCAAAAATAAGAACGGCACGCCGAGCATTAGGTACTCGTATATCGAAAGATATAAGAAAGACACAAGTTAGAAAGGATTGCACAAACTAATTTTACGACCGAGCTAATTGATGGAGTATGAAGCTGTAGTTAAGACTTTGCTTGCATGGTAAAGCTATGTATCTTGTATAAGCAATGGGTTTTATTGTCTAATGCCTGGTTTAATTCACAGCAGGTTACCTCAAGCCTATGTCACGTGTGTGCGTGTGTGTGTTTTGCTTACCTAGGACAAACTTGCTGATGAGGCCAACGAGAGTAATCACCAATTGACTGGTTATAAACCATAGCTTGGAGGGATTGCGCAGCCGAGGAAATATCCAATCGATGGGATAGGGTATTTCGACGCCCGATGACATGTTCGACGATGTGGAGCCCTTGCTCTGGGAGCTGCTTTCCTGTTGTTTCAACTCCTTTTCCGTGGACTGCCTGATGCTATGCGATGATAGATTTATGTGCAGACTTTCCGTCTGCACTGACTGATCTCTCTGCTGCGGCATCTGCGGCTGCGGCGGCGGCGGCTGCAGTCCTGGCGAAGATCTATCATCGGGCAGTGGGCGAGCCTCGGGGGCCTGGACGTATAGCTGTGTATTGATCAGAATGGGGTTTAACATGGCACCCAAGCAAATTCAAATTGCCACCCACGCGGCGACCTTAATCTATTCGTACATATGAAAGGTCAAAGACTACTTTTCTTTCTGCTACATTCGAATTCGAAAATGTTTCAATTTGTTGCTCGTTGACAACAATTTGAGCAGCTGGTTTTCTTACAGCAAAAGGGTGTATGGGTTTTGTAACAGGCTTAAGAGATTTCTCCAAAAGCCGAATCGGTCTACCCAAGTCCGTCAGTCCCCACGCATAACCCGTCGATCTCTAGAACTAGATCTAGATCCTCATATTGCTCAAGTTTGTTTTAAACTCAACGACAAGATTCCCGACCTATGGAATCGATAAGAATCGAGGGTATACCACGGAGTATACGACATGCTAGTTTTTTGGAAGCCTCCTTCGTTTCCTTCCAAACTAAATTCATTTCCCTGCCTTAATACAATAAAAGCTCCTAGAAAGAAAATCCGTTGAATGGGGCATTATCCAGAGAGCAAAGTTTTTTAGTGTCCACCTGTTTGCTTACGTTTTCCGACAGGGACTGCCGTTGGACGGACGCGAGACGATTTTAACAAAAATTGTACATTTCACAAAGCATACAACAAATACGTACGAATTTAGGCATCGATAATATATTTTTGTGTTTTTTCATATTTCATCTTTGACATATCTTTAACTCTTAGGACCAAGAGACTGTTCGCTCACGCGAGCCCTCACTCTACTCAGGCACTTTATAGTTCAATCAGAAGAGATTTCTTGTTTGTTTAATTGACTCGCCGTCAATTAATTGAAAATATTCGTACATTCGCAGTTGTTCAATTAGATGCGGCTGATGCTGGCTGTTGCCGTATATCATACGAATTTTAGGCGGAAGAGATAGAACTACGCGTTGGCAACTTGAAAGTGTAACTGACGCTTGGTCAAGTACGTTTAGGTGCGTGCAAGGGCATCCAAGAGACAGAGAGAGAGATGCTACTGAGCGAGTGAGAGAGTAGCACGAGCCAATCCGCAAGCACTATCAGTTGCAGTGAAGGCACGTTTTTAGAGATTTACGTTGTGGCGTAGCCGAGCATGCACCGAGAGATAACACCAACTGTTGCAATTGGATTTCAAATGGCGCGCTCATGCAGCGCAGCCCTGGTCTGTGGTGAATTTCGCTGCGGTGAAGAAAAAATAAGCTGACACGTGCCTGGCTAAATGCCATATACACAAATACATACATATGTGGAAAATCAATGATGGGCCCAGACTACTTTAAATCACACATAAACATATTTTTATCAATAAGGATTTGGCTTAGCCTTGACTCTTACCCGCGCGGCCAACATGTACACATGCTGGCCATATATGCTCCGTGGCAGGTGTTGTCGATGCCAATGCCAAAGGCTGCGCGTGGCAGTCAAGTTCACTTGATCAGGCCTTATCCGCCTTAAATTTGCACAAATAGCCATCAACATGGTAAACACTTAATTTTTTTGATATGCGTGTGTGTGTGTTTCTGTGTTTAACTGTATAAATATATATATATATGTATGTGTGTTGTGTACTGCACCCGCGGTTTACATAAGAGTAATTTATCTTAGCGAGCCACACTTGCAAATTTTGGACTTGCGCCGCAACAGCCGACGTCCAGGTTAGCTTTCAGCTGGCCAATGTAAGCGCATTCGGGCCCGTGCAGTGCAATTTTGTGCCTAACGCGCACTTTAGCTGTAGCGCGCATGTCTGGGTTAAGTGCTGTTGCCAAGAAAGCAATACAGTGTAATCTGGGCCAAAAAGGAAAATGAAATAAATTGAAAATTTTCTTTGTAAACAAGACCGAAACAGCTGTGCGTTTTTGCCATTCACAGGTTCCAGTTACATAACACAGTGCTGCCAGATGTTTTAAATTAAACCAAAAAAACGAGTCATAATATATATTGACTTAAATTTGGAAGTTTATATTTTTATATTAGAGTGAATTAAAAATACGTTAATTTCAAGTAAGAGCAAAAAGCATGTCACGCAGCGCACGCCCTCTCACCTCAGCCCGCGTGCTGCACAAGATCAAGGAGCTAACCACGCCGGCAACCGATGGCAACTTTGTAACCAATCGCAATCCTCGTAATCTAGAGAGATTGCGCATTGCCTACAAGCCTACGGGCTATCATTTGGAGAAACCAGGACGTTCATACTGGCACACACTTGAAATCAACACCAGCGGACGCTATGTAAGTGCCGACTTGAAGCATTTCGAGAACGGCACCATCCTTAGCGCCAGCACCTCCGAGTGGGCAATCAAGCAGCAATTGTACAAAACGAAGGACACCTCGGCATTTGTCAATCTGGGACGGGTGCTCGCCCAGCGATGCCTGCAAGCTGGCATTACCGAAATGACCTGCAATGTGAATGCCGTGGCCGGCAGCAAATTGGAGAAGCTGCTCCAGGCAGTGCAGGAGAACGGCGTCAGTTTTCAGGAGCCGACCAGACTACCAAATACCCATCCCTGGGATGCCTACAGGCACGAGAAGCCCTGGGAGGTTTCTGAACAAACTGCAACTGTAGCCACGAAAACAACCGATGTTAAATAAAAACAACAAAATAGCTTTGGGTTTCGTATCGTTTAGAATAAACGTTGATATTTTTATGCTAATTAACAATGAAGCAACATCATTGTTTTATTTAAAACTAGCTGCAGTCATTGGAACCGCTGGTCTATTCATATTTGCCCTTGATGTCCTTCCAGAGTTTCTGTAATAACAAAATATGTTCGTGAGTGCACAATTCAGTCTTACATAAGCAACAAAACTTACGCCTTTGTTGATGGACTCGAAGATCAGGTTCGAGCCGACGTCGATGGCTCGCTCAAAGAAGAAGGCTGATGCGAATATGGCCACAGCGTATGTGGACGTACGCTTGAAGAGGGTATTGTAGATAACCTTCATTTTAACAAGACTTTCAGCAAAATTCGTAGTTTTCTAGGAAAATTTGCAGTCGCCTCACACGCCAATTTAACAGCTGTCACAGACAAGTGTATAGCAACGTCAAAAGCTGAGCGTTGTGCGTTTACAGCACTGAAACTGGTCGAGTTTGCGTAAAGTGGCAGCCTTATTGTTTTTCTGTTAGGTGGCAAGGCTAGTGAGATATTTTCATCTGAGTCGTGTTTCGACAATTTCTAAGATAAACTTAAAAGTGTGACGAAGCAGCACGCACAGCCTAGTCGCTGCATTAGTTTTTCAATTTAGCGTCAATTATATTTCTATATTTTACACATAATGGTTGATTTAACCGATGCCGGCTCACCGTTCCAGCAGTCAATACCCAATCTTGCATTCTATGTGCCGGCTGTTGTTGTTTTTGGTTTAGCAGGTGAGTCTTAAATGCATCCCATAGGAAAGCATCGTGTTGCGTCATGCATGCAATAAACCAACCGCCCCTCCTCCCACCAACCCCAACTATCTACTCGCCAATGTACACACTGTGAACAATATTAAAGCCGCACTGCCAATTGGGTCAAAAGCAAACTTTCACCACGAAAATACAACTAGAATTCAACTGCTGCTAATCGCGCCCCCTCTGCGCCGCTGCCACTGTTACGTTCTCTGTTAAGCTGTTTTGGAAAGCCGTTATCTTCGTTCTTATTGGAATATATATATATATTTGTATCTCTAAAAGTTATTCTCTTTTTATGTGCGTGTGCATACGTGTACTTGACGTGCTCTGCGATAACGAGTTTCCTTTTCTTTTTGTTTCGCCTACGTATGCAACTTTTGCTGTTCAAATTCGAAGTGATAAGTGCCGCAGTGATAAGAGCCCGGCAAACATCATTGGCCACTACCCATTGATTGGGCCAGTCAATGCGGTTGGACACGTGCCTCGGCAACACTCGAGTTCGAGTTCGATTACTGCAAGATGCCTTTTGTTTTAAAATTGGCTTTTACATTTGTATCTTTTGCTATCCTTCGATTTATTTAGTCCTTAGCTGCATGCTCATACTCATTGGTTATATATTTAGGTTCGTTTAGCTGATAAGCGTGGCTCTTCAGGCCGCATAATGAAGGCATCTTATCGCACATTTAGTTGCTGCTTATTCATTATTAACTTACCTTTAAAGCAGTAAATAATACAAATTTGTCGAAGAGTAAATACTCTTTAAGATGGGTTGCGGTTTTGCCGATATAGGAAGAGAATGATTCTTCCTATATGTCGTTAATATATATGGTATATCTTGATAAACAGACAAGTTTTTTGTATAGGGTATTTCTTTTCGACTTATCATATCTATATGATATAGTGATATTGTGAGATCGGCCGATTCCGACATAAGACTGCATAAAAGACGATCCTGTGCAAAACTTCATGACGGAAGCATTTAGACTAAGAGACTAGTTTGCATGGAAACAGACAGACAACTATCACTAATCAGGAATATATATAAAATTGTTGAGGTCCGGGATGCCACATTTTTAGATGTTACACATTTCAACAATAAGTTATAATACCCTCAGTGAGTGTATACTAAATATGCTGACGCCTTACGCCGGACGCGAAAAGCAAAATATAAAGCGCAGCGAAACAAAAAGCAACTGCCGGGCTCTCGTATATATCTCACAAATAACGAAATATAAGCGGGCTGATTACAAATAAGTGTCAATTTATATATTAGATTTGGTTTTTAGCGTTCAGTTTGCCAAAGCAGCCGGCGATGCAGCACGTTAATTGCGCTGTCATTTCAAAATATACATAAATTACGTCAAGTGAGTTTTAGGCAACGAACGGAAAAAAAAAGAAAGGTAAAATTGTAATTCAGCTTTTTAAAAAATAAAAAAAGAGTTTTTACCAACTCGCAGCCGGTAGGATTCGAACCTACGCTCCCAGAGGGAATCTGATTTCGAGTCAGACGCCTTAACCACTCGGCCACGACTGCTGTTGACGAAACTCGTCTAAAATGCCATAAGAGGGCATTGCGTGCGCGCGCGTCTCGTTTTGCCACGTTGAATTTTGTATTGTCATAAATCAATTTAAATCGTGTACTTTATTTGCGTTGCCAATATTTTTCGTTTCTATATGCGCCTAATAATTAATATAAGTGTTAAAAAAAGTTAAAAAATGCTGCTGCATGCTATAAATAGTTTTCCAGTCTAGTTAGTTCTATAAATACGCCTGTTTTGGAGGCTTTGATTAAACTCTAAGATTTTATAATTTCCACCCTATGCAGACGCAATAAACCGTTAAGCAAGCCCACCCCGTCAACATAACGTTAGTTAAAGCACAAGAAAATATGGCAGAAGACCCAATAAATCAGCAGGCATTTGCCGAGGATGTGGCCGCTGCGGCAGCAGCTGGCGGGGATCAGGGTTTCGCCATGCCGCCGGGTTCGGGTCCCGGCTCCCCAGACTTTCAAATGCCCAGTGCTGAGGAAATCTGGAAAATGGTTGAATCCATGGAAGGCCTTTCCGACGCTGAACGTGCCGAGCTGCGCGAAAATATATTTAATCCGAAGCCGCCATCGCCGGAGGATTACATGCGATACGGACATCCCGGCCACAGTTCCCGAGAGTATTTAGTATTCTTTGTGATGATTATGCTAATACTGGTCGTCTTTGGTAAGCTGAGTTCTTCCCAAAAGCCCCGACAAAGCCCAATGACCGACCTCGCTCGACAAAAATGCCACCTCCCAAAAACAAACAGCACACATATATATATAGATATATATGTATATATCTATATATATTTGTATATGTGTGTGGATAGTGTGCGCTGTTAACATACTCAGACGTAAACATCGTTTAGAATGTTGGTTTATAGGTGTTCGATTTTCGATAAGATAGGAGAAATCCACCACAAAAAATTGTAAAAGCGGCAAATCATAACGACAAAAGCTTTGGACACTGCACGTTGTCAGACACCGGGCTATGCCGATTATCTTAATTTGTTTTGTCATCACATTTCGTATCCAAAATTCTCTAGAAATAGTACACAACTATGAGTTCGGGCGAAGAGTCCATTGTTGAGCAGCTAAAGCGCTCTGTGGAGGCCTTGGTCGCTAAGACGGGGCCGCATAGCAGATTTGCCGAGGATCTTATACAGAAAATTGGCAATCTACAGGCAAAAATGGATTCGCTGACCGAAGGCGATCGCCACAAGTTTCTCAGCGAGATGAAGGGCTCCATTCAGGACGCGATTGTGCGCATCGAGCGCCGTTTGCTGCAGCATTCGCACATTGCCCAAACCTATACCACGTCCATTGTGGTAGCTGTGATATTCCTTGTCGTCTCAGTAATCGGTTAATTCTGCACCCTTGCATCCATTTGAATGGCACAAGCAGACGCTAACGAACTCTTCTGTTTACTCTTCCAGCTCTATTTGGCTTCAAGCTGTACAAGTCGCTGATGGAGAAGGAGCTCAAGAAGCGGGAGAAACTGAAGAGCAAGCAGCAAAAGAAGACCAAGAAGTCCAATTGAATATTGGTGCACAGCCCCATATATTGCCCATAGCTTCTGATACTTCCGGCTCCTTCCGGCTGCTGGCTCCGAGCGCAGACGCTGTGCAATAGATTCTTAAAATTTATATTAAATTGAGTATATATTGCGTTTTTCTTTTAAATGATAATCAAAATAAATTCCCTGTAAATGAATAAATAATTGTATATCCATGTACGTATAGCATTATGCGCATTAACCAATATACAAGTTATATAGTTTAAATTAAATTGAAGTGCGTGTTTATTTCACAAATAACAACGACATTTATTACCATTAAAACCAGCCCTGACATTTCGTGACTTGGCCAAAACTTGTTGCTGGCCTCCTAACTATTTTGCTGCCTGCCCCCCCTAACTAACTTTATGACCTGTCGACACCCAATACACATTGTCGTTGCCATGGCAAATAAATAAATCGTTTTGTCGAAGCTCCTTCCGTCAGCTCGAGGCATTTTCCCTACGCTTAGTTTCTACAAATCATTTTTGAGCAACAGATCGTCTACAACTAAAGTATATATATATATAATATATATAATCAATAATGGCTTATTCGAATCGTGAGTATAATTGCATATGTGTGTAATGCTCGTCTGATGGCCTGTCTCATATTTCCAGGTGGTTTTGATTTCTATCTGCCGTCGGGCGGCTGGTGCAATCCAAAGGATGACATGTACTTTCGGCGCAGCGTCGAGTGGGTGCCCGTGCGCAGCGCTGGCATTGGACGCTCCTTTGCGACTACCAACGGCGTTATATATCCGCGGGTGATCGGTTTGTTGCCACGCTACGGTGGACACGTGCCCGGCGAGATATATAACGTGGGGCATTCCTTTGGGCGTTCTACCGTCGACGCCAAACGCTGGCTGGCCCTGCATCATGAGTAAAAAAAAAAACTCGAAGCAATATATAGAAACAAAAATTCCAAGCTGCATAAGCTCGTTATAAATTATATAAAGTATTTTAAAAATTGAATAAAATACAAGTTAGCATATATGTTAGCTGCATTACATTCAAATTTAGCGCCTAGCTGCTGGCCAGTGCTGCCATACGTAAAATTTTGCAAACGCATGCGAACGGTCACACTTGGCGCTATATTTTTGCTTGTGCCATTTCAGCATTACGAAGCTTTCTCCTAAGACAAACATGGGTTTCACGCGCAGTTTTGTATATTCCCGACATAAATTGTTAAATATATACAGCTGTAATTTAAGTACAAGTGCAATTAAATACCAAAATGTGCAACAGTCAACGGCAGCAGCCAAGCGAATTTGCATTGTGGGCGCCGGCCCAGCGGGTTTCTATGCCGCACAATATTTGCTCAAGCAGCTGAGCGACTGCACCGTGGACATCGTGGAGAAGCTGCCGGTGCCGTTCGGATTGGTGCGGTAAGCTGCATATAAACTAATTGCTGGGTGTTGTATTGCGGTCATCGTCGTTGCCAAACCCAAAAAGCGGTCCAACAATAGAGCGAAAGATGCCATTAAAGTAAGCTGAAGGAGGAGCAGGAGGCACGAAATAAATGACATGACAGAGGAGCTGCAGCTGCGGCTACTTACAGCCCACCTGGTCGAGACTCCATATGGGCGCAGGCGTCGCGGGCACAAGTATTAGCTGGCAAAACAGGCACAGCACAAGCAGAGCAGCAGCCTTGCACATCTTGGGCCGTTGAGTGACAAGTGCGTTCTGTGTGGCAATTGCGTTGGACGTATTTATTTAATGGCTCGCTGCTCGCTGGCTCACACAGACGCTAATCGACTAATGACTATTGCCATTATGCAAATCTCAACATTCCAGCTTTGGAGTTGCGCCCGATCATCCGGAGGTCAAGAATGTCATCAACACGTTTACGAAGACGGCGGAGCATCCGCGTTTACGTTTTTTTGGCAACGTAACGCTCGGCGAGGATGTGAGCCTGCAGGAGCTGCGGGATCGTTACCATGCCGTGCTGCTCACCTATGGCGCGGATCAGGATCGTGAGCTGCAGCTGGACAACGAGCGGCAGGCGCCGCATGTGATATCGGCGCGGAAATTTGTGGCCTGGTATAATGGTTTGCCCGGCGCCGAGCAGCTGCAGCCGGATTTGAGCGGACGCGACGTCACGATTGTGGGCCAAGGCAACGTTGCCGTCGATGTGGCGCGCATGTTGCTAAGTCCGATCGACACCCTGAAGGTATGCTTGCCTTAAAAGAGGTCTGAGCTAAACTGATCTTGGGTTCTTTCACACAGCTTACAGATACCACGGAGTATGCCTTGGAGGCACTGGCGCGCAGCAAGGTGGAGCGTGTACACCTGGTGGGCCGACGCGGTCCGCTGCAGGCAGCCTTCACGATTAAAGAGCTGCGCGAGATGCTCAAATTGCCCAATGTCGAGACTTGTTGGCGTGCAGCGGACTTTACGGGTAAAGTATATGAAAGCTAGCAATCCTTATGCCATCTAAACTGCGACCGTTCACAGGCATTGCTGAGCAGGTGGACAAATTGCAGCGACCACGAAGGCGTCTAACTGAACTGATGCTCAAGAGTCTGGGCGAACAGAGGAAGCCCAGGGCTGCAGCTGTTGGCAAGCAATTCCTGCCCATCTTTCTGCGCGCTCCCAAAGCCATTGCGGCGAATGAAATGGAATTTAGCATAACTGAGCTGCAGGAGAACGAGGCAGCAGTCGCCACTGAGGCATCCGAACGGCTGCCAGCTGATTTAATTTTACGCAGCATTGGCTACAAATCCAGTTGTGCCGATGCTGGCATCAACTTTGATCCGAAACGTGGTCATGTGTGCAATCGGCAAGGCCGTGTGCTGAAGCCCGGCGAATCCGACGCTGTGGAGCCTGGCCTGTATGTGGCTGGCTGGCTGTGCACTGGACCCACTGGTGTCATCCTGACCACCATGAATGGCGCCTTCGTCGTGGCCAAAACTATCTGCGATGATATTGCAGCCAAAGCTGTGGACACAGCCTCAGCAAAACCTGGCTTTGAGCCGGGCAGCAGGCGTATTGTCAACTGGGAAGGCTGGCGACGCATCGACCAACACGAAAGCGAGGCGGGCAAGGCCAAGGGCAAGCCGCGCGAGAAAATTGTTAGCACTGAGGAAATGCTGCGCATTGCTGGCGTCTGATAAACTAGGTTGAGGGACTATTGGCATTAGTTAAACTTTACATTCATTAACCCATCATGGATGCCAAAGCTAAACAGTATAGCATCTTTTAAGTTGTCACTGTATATAATTGTATATATTTTAAACAAAACATCAATGTTATAGTTAAATTTTTCTAAGTATAAAGTTTTATTTCCAAATTTTCTGTATAAACTGTTAAAATATGGAAACATCCATAACACCTCAGCCACACTTGGTGCCAGGGTAAGCTTCGCTCTATGCCCACTACCCCGGAATCTGTCTTAGCACTCTGTCCACAGTTATACTGGCCACTGTCCGGAGAATCGTGATCGCGTTGGCAAAACCTATGGCAAGCAGACGCACACGCTGCTCATTGATCCTTGCAGTAATCATGCGCCCGAGCTGATTGTCGCGCCCATACACGCCAAACCCGATCTCAAGGATTACCCAACCGAGAATGAGTTGAAGATCTTAAGCGATCGCGAGGAGTTTGTCGACTCCGTCTATCGCCATCCCATAATACCGGGTTATGCGGGCTTTGTGCCCAACATGTTCAAGCAGACGGGCAAACGCTATGTTGCTGCCGCCACCGCGGGCGTGGCTCAGCACGAGACCCTGATGCAGCTGTACCGATGCGAGAATCGCACATTGCGCCATCGTGATCTGCTCGAGAGTGGTCGCGGCTTGTTTGAGCACAAACTGAACGAGCGACTGGTGAGTAGCCCTAAGCAACTGTGTGGGGAATCTTAATCATGCCCTCATCCTGCAGCTACCGCACTCGCAATATCGCGCACCCCTGATACCCGTTACGCCTGTCAGTAAGGGCATCAAGGAGGAGAAGTGCCCGCCAACGAAAGAGAAACTACACTACAGTAAGTTCACTTCGCCCCACTTCCTGGATGATGATGACTCGAATAAGTTCATCATCAATGGCTATGCTGCCCACATACCCATGGCTGTGACGCGGTTCGGTGAGCCCAGCAAGGTGCTCACGCATAATGCACTCTGCAGCTTCTCGGACTATATGTATAAGAGGAAGCGGGACTCGTGGTGCTGCGGCCAGGACCTGAGCACACCCGCCATAAAGTGTCCGCCAGTGGGACACTTTATTATTTATCATAACAACCATGGCATGAATCCCAGCTATGCCGGTCATGTGCCTGGAAATATGTACAAGTTCGGGCGAACATTCGAAAAGACCTCATATCATGCTAAGCGCTGGCTTGAAATTCACAAGGATCTCACCCTTTTGCCAGAGATTGCGAATTTAGATTACGAATACTAAAAACAGTTGACGTAATTGTAAAGTATTTTGTTTATTTTCGGAATTGGCTTCAATAATATAAAACAATTTAAAAATCCAAAAATTGATAACCAAAAAGTTATATTTTTGGACTTAAGGCGGTTCTTGCCTGACTTGACATTTTATTTTTTATCGAATCTGGTCTCACTCGCTGTAGAAACTAATCTATCGATGTCGCGTATCGATACGACAACAACATTGCTGCTCTCGTTTCTACGTCGTTGCAGTTGATTAAAATAAGTTTTCATTGAATTGGGATGTTTCATATGCGTGAATCGTTGTCAATGCCGTGATCAATAAGTGTTCAGTGCCTCTAGTGCTTGGCAAAAATGTAAAAACTTAAGTTTGAACAGCAAAACGCGTAAAAAATTCCATGAACGCCAACCGAAAAAAATCTCTTCCGAATCGAACAATTCAAACACACACATAGTGCCGCACTGTTCACACCGGAGCGCTGATATAGTACCGCAGTGAGTGCAAGCGAGTCAAGCAGTCGTGTACGGAGATAACATACATTTGTGTACCTACCTCTCTTCAAGTGGTGAGTTGAATGCCGATTATTGCACCCTGCACGCAATTGTAACGCGAGGCATATGAGTGCATCGCCTGGTTGGCAGTGAAAAATCAACATGTTTTTTGAGATTTGTATGTATAAAAACTAATTACCGCAAATTTACTTATCAGCATGCGATAAGATTGTTTGTGGAGCTTGGTTCAAAGCAAGCAACCTGATTGGGCAACGAAGCGCTCTTAGCAAGCAGGTAACAGTCGTGTCGGTGCGACCCTACCGCAACTTGTTTATTAAAAGCGAACAAACGAATAAAAATAAAAACAAAAAAATACATATGTAATTTGTTGTAGAAGGTGAGATTTACGACTGGCATGTTGAGTTTGGGAGAGCGCTCAAGAATGAGAACGTATAGAGAACTGGGAAAAACCGCCAAAATGGGTTGAGTTTGTTTTGCATCGATTTTCCGGCCGCTATAATGGATGCACATATTTACCTTTCACTAATTTCCATTGCAGAAAATCCGTATGGAAATGAGTGAAGCAACGAAGGAGACCTCCACGAACGATGTAGCGCAGAGTGAGGAGCAGCAAGTGGATGCTGCTACTACGGTCAGCGGCAAAGAATCCAAAGATACCACATCTGATGCAGCACCAATAGACACGGAAAATGTGCAGGCACAAAGCGAGCAATGCTCCACGGCAACCACAGTGGACATCAATACGCTGACTCCGTCGACACCATCGCAGACGCCGCCACAGCTGTTGGCGGCCGAAGCGAGTGCAACACCGACTGCAACGTCAAGTGGCACAGTGGCTGCAGCAGCTATACCCGAGAATATACTATCGCCGCCCAAGTCGGAAACACAAACGGATGAAACAAATACGGCCACATCGACCTCATGCTCGCCGGCTTCGGAAGGTCAGCGGTCGCCTACGGGAGAAGCAGATCAGCAACAGCAACAACAACAGCAAAAACAAAAACAGCAGCCGCAGCCAACGTTAGCACCAAAAGAGGAAGCAACGCCGAAGCTGGAGCTGGAGCTGGAGCTGGATAAGGCAACAGCTGTTGTTAATGGCACCATACCAAAGTCGGGCAAACCGCTGGTAACGGCGCTCAATAAGAAACTTAACAAGTCAGCCAACACATCGCCGCGAGCGTCACGTGCGCGCAAGCCAAAGGCTTTGCCCATGTACGAGAGCGAAATCAGCGACAACAAAGTCGGCATCAAGCTGTGCATCAAGAAGTCTGATGCGGCTGCTGGGTCATCAGAGTTGCCAGTGGGCGCTGCGCCGGCCCCAAGGCCACCAGCGCCAGCGAAGCCGGCACGCAAGCGCGTTCGCAAACCAAAACAACAACAGGACAGCGACGAGAGTGAGTATGAGCCGCGCAAGAAGAAGGGCGGAGGCGGCAGCAACAACGGCGAGCGACAGAAAAGGACATCAACAAACGCCTCTGCTCAGCAGGCGGCAGAAGCGGACAGCGAGCCGGTTGAGCAGAGTGCCTGGGGCCATAAGTTACCTGAAGAAGTGCTCTTTCGTGTAAGCCAACAGAATAGTAGATATCCAGTTGACTCCATGGTTATTATTTCCATGAATTCTTACAGATTTTTGAACATGTTGTCGATAAGGAGGGCTGCCTGCCTACCCTATTTCGGCTGGGGCGTGTGTGCTCGCTGTGGCGACAGGTCTCGCTGAGACCAACGCTATGGCGCACCATGGATTTGACCACCTGGATTAAGGAAAAGTACCGAACGGAACTTAAACTGAAATGGTTTGTGGACAATCGTTGCAGTGCTTGCACCGAATTAAATGTCTGTAAGTATCCGCGCCGGCTTCTTTACATGTTGATATTATTACTAAATTCTTGATTTACAGCCAATTGGAAGATATCAGACATCAATTGCTTTCTGGCAAAGCTCTCCACTGGCTGTCCAAATCTGACAGGCATCACGCTGTCTGGCTGGAAAGGTTTCACATCGGATCATTTGACATATCTTGTCGATAATATGCAAAAGCTACAGCGCTTAGACTTAAGCTCAATTAATGTAAGTCAGTGAAGTACGATTAAATACTTTGTAAATTATTTTTAAAACGCTTTTACAGGTCGAAATGAATGCTAGCAAGAGCGCTGTTGGCGTTAACTCACTTTGCAATGCGCTCCAGACCATGGGCAGTCGATTGACCCACCTCTACTTGGCACACAACCGTCTAGCTGGAATTCCCAATATTGTCAGCGTACTTGCGGTGCGGAAAACAATTCTTTACTTTGATTTGAGACAGTTTTATTAATTCATGCTGCTCTTTACCTTCTCGCTTTACAGACGCATTGTCCAAATTTGACGCTCTTAGATCTCTCAAACGTAACCACACAAGCTACATCGCACGGCGTGCTCTACATCGAGAAGCTGCAGCATGGTTGCCAGAAGCTAAAGGTGCTCCGTGTCACCAACTCCCACATAACACCGAGTACGGCCAGCATGCAGGAGATTGTAAGTACTGATGGTTGACTTTATTGCCAAACATTTTGGTTAATACATTATGTCTTTCAGATGGACTCGCCAGGTTTTCCCAATCTCGAGGAGCTCTCCGTGGCAGCTTTGACCGATGAATCCCGCATCATAAGTGATGACCATCTACAACGTATATTAAAGAGCAGCTCCAAGTTGAAGCTACTGGATGTGCGCAATTGCACACGTCTGACGCACGAGAGCTTAATACGTTTGCCAGCCTGGGATATCAAGCATTTATTTCTCTCCGGCTGCTCGGTCACCCGTGATATGGGGTGAGTGGGGCCATGCATAGAGCTCAGAAGAGAACTTAATATAATAATATATCTATGATCCTTGCAGATCGGGTCTGGAACTTATTGCGTCCAAATGGGCGCATAGTTTAATCGAACTTGATCTGGCCTGGGCTAACGTCCAGCAGCCCATAGACAATGCTTTGCGCGCACTAGCTGAGAAGGGCAGCGAGTCTCCATTGGCGTAAGTGAACAATATACGAAATTATTAAATGCTCAACTGAAAAGGACTTTTCTGCCTTCAAACAGCCACTTAAATCTATGCGGCTCATCAGTATCTGAGGAGGCGGTTAAGGAAATACTCACGAACTGTGTGCACATGAGCTCAATAAATCTTGCATCATGCCGCGGCTTGCCCCGTGGCGTTAAGCGCCTTATGCAGGGACCACAGGAGCTGCACGAACTGCGCGAAGTGCTCGGTGTACAACTGAAAGTGCAGTAGAAGGGACTACAGCAGGGTGCAATAATTATATATTGAAAGCTGTGTCGGCGGCGCCAACAATAACTTGAAGCGAAATGAATGTTATTGCTGCTAGCTGGCAGCTTGAATGTAATTGAAATTGTTGCATTCTTTAAGATTAGGCAAAGCGTTCAGTGTTTGTGGGACTGCCCACAATAATGCAATAGTCGAAATCGCTTCGCATCTTCCAATCATGCTTATATTGTTTTCTAGGCTGCACCCTTGTGTTTTGTAAATGCAATATGTATCTTATAATTTATTTGTTTCGAATTTCAACGCGATAAGTATGCACGTTGAAACAAATCTTAAATATATACAGTGATGTTTAGATGATTTTTTTTTTTGTATTGCATATATTGATTAGAGCGTAGTTAAGCAACTAATGACCACTGTATGTTTGTAAAGTATGTATGCATATTTAAGATTAAGTTTAAACGTAATTTGTATGCTTTTGCAATACAAAAACAAAACAAAATGATTAACAATAAATAGTAGTAGTCGTCAATTCAATGTCGCTAAGGCAATTTGTAGAACGTTTTAACCCAGATCAAGTTTGTAAATAAGTATTTGGCGCTTAAGAAACTTTATTGAAATCGAAAATAGTAGTTAGCATACATATTGAACGATTTCACACACACACACACACGTATATATATATATAAAACAATTCAATTGTTAAGCATTATTAGCAGTTAAGAGAAGGCAATTAAAGGTATATTTAATTTTAAATAAAAGAAAACTTTAATATTCTGAGCCAGTCCTTTGAGTAAATTCAATGAATTCCTGAGCGCAATCCCAAACAAGTACTACATGTATTTTACTTTTGTCACTAATTTAATTTTTATTTAAGTTGCGTACGTAAATATTTTGCACATTATTAAACTATGAGCGTATTATAATCGTGGGCATGTCTGCAACTTTACAAAAACTAGTATACAACATAAATCGCCTTTACCATTTCCGTCCCGGTCGCCATCATCTTTTGTTTTAGTTCTTCAGCTTGTCAAGGTCATGTATGTAGTCCGTACCAACTTTAACAATGGCGGCGCCTGTGCCCAAGCCGGCTAGCGTGGCGAGCAGCGAGTTGTCCTTAGGCAACGCGGATTTGATCAGTGCCCAGGCCAGTACCGATCCCATGCTGAACAGCGTAGCTGCAAGCAATGCATACGCTCCGCGTTTGTTGTTCTTAATGTCCTTTAAATGTGGTCGGCCGTATATATAGAAGGCGCTTCCAACGACTGCGGAAATCAGGAAAACATTCGTCAGATCCTTTTTGGGCAATAGTTTCGGCACAATCTGGGGATTCATCACGTTGACGCTAAGGGCTCCATAGCTTACGAGACCGTGCAGTGGTATGTAATAGTTGAATACGTTGTCTTTGGTCAGGGGTCTTAGACCAACTTTCTCGCAAATGGTACAAGCGTCTTTATTCTGTGTGCTAGCCATTGTGTGAAATTTTTTGGATGCTACAAATGCAAAAAGTGTTGCTCTCTTCAGTTATGTAAAGAACAGACAGTGTTGTCAAGTGGCGCAATTAAAGATAATTGTGCCGGTTTGCTTTTAGCCTGTGTCGATGGTATCAAAATAAATAAATTGTTTTTAGTCAAGAATTCTTGTGTAAAGTTATTTCAAGCTTTGTTTTTATTATCTGACTAAATAAGCAACGTGTGCTTACAGTAATAAATATACAAACTGCATGTGTAACCATTAATAGCCGGTAGTATTAAAACATGGTGGCAACTTTGTTGCCTGCAATTGCAGGGATGTCAGTAAAATTGCTTGAAAATATGATACAAATATGTATATGCTCATTAAATTATAAGCGATTTAGTTGGAATTCAAATTTTTAATTTGCAATTATTTCGATAGCTTTACAGACAATTTAAAATTGCTTAATTTGATGTTATAGCGCTGCCACATAGTCGAAAACAATTTAATGTATTTATATCAACAAATTTCGATAACAATTTATCGCTTAGAGAAATTATCGTGCATTGGCCGAAAAGCATATAGTGTTGAGTTTTTTGCAGCTAGGATAATAAATTAATTAATGCGCGTATTTAATGTGCAGCAGTACACAACAATCACGTGAAGATAACACAAAATACACGCAACAACGACAGCTTAAGCTCGTGCCGTGTAAGACATGTTGACGCACAAAACTTGCCAGGCCAGAAAAAAAATGCAGGTGAGTTTACCCCAATAAGAAACACCGGGTTTATGGCATGGAGGTGCCGCTGGCGTAAGTAACACACGAGATTACCTGACTTTTTGGGCACAGTCCTTAATTGAATTACGAGTGTTCTTGCTGGTTGGTAATTGTTTTTTTTTTTTTTTTCAATTTTTTCCAGGTTTCCTTTGTGATACGAGACGCGGAGGAGAAACAGCATCGGAATGGCGTTAACGCTCTGCAATTGGATAGCAACAATGGCAAGTTGTATTCGGCGGGTCGAGATGCCATTATACGGGTCTGGAACACACGCACGGAATCCAACGATAAGTATATACAATCTATGGAGCATCACAACGACTGGGTCAACGACATTGTGCTCTGCTGTAACGGCAGAAATTGTAAGTCCAATTTGTAAAGTTCAAGTGATTTTAAGTAGCTAATCGACCTCTCTTTGTAGTGATCAGCGCCAGCTGTGATACCACTGTGAAGGTATGGAATGCACACAAAGGCTTTTGCATGTCCACACTGCGCACGCATCGCGATTATGTGCAGGCGCTGGCATATGCCAAGGATCGGGAACAAGTGGCCAGTGCAGGCCTGGATAAGGCCATATTTCTGTGGGATGTGAATACGCTAACAGCTTTAACTGCCAGCAACAATACCGTTACAACCTCTAGTCTGACAGGCTCGAAGGACTCAATATACAGCCTGGCCATGAATCCCTCCGGAACCGTTATTGTCAGCGGGTCTACGGAGAACATATTGCGCATATGGGATCCGCGAACTTGCATGCGCAGCATGAAGCTGCGCGGCCACACAGAGAACGTACGCTGCCTCGTTGTATCACCGGATGGCAATCAGGTTGTCTCCGGCAGCTCTGATGGCACCATTAAGGTGTGGAACTTGGGCCAACAGCGTTGCATACAGACAATACACGTCCACAAGGAGGGCGTGTGGTCGTTGCTTATGAGCGAGAATTTTCAGTACATTATTTCGGGCAGCAGAGACCGAAACATAATTGTAACGGAAATGCGCAATCCCAGCAACAAGATGCTTGTATGTGAGGAGAAGGCGCCAGTGCTCAGTTTGGGCTATAATATCGATAAAACAGGTGTATGGGCGACTACCTGGAATTCGGATATACGTTGCTGGAAGCTGCCCATGTATGACAGATGCACGCTCAGCTCTGGGGGCATGGATGCACAGTGGACAATGGGTGGCACAGAGCTGGCGTGCATTAAAGGTGGAGCGGCGATCAAGGAGTGCACGGTGCTTAACGATAAACGCTATATCATTACAAAAGACTCGCAGGATCAGGTTGTGGTCTATGACGTGCTACGTGTGATCAAAAAAGAAGAACTGGGTCCCGTCGACTACGAAGAGGAAGTGAAGAAGCGTAACAAACAAGTCTACATTCCAAATTGGTTTACTGTTGATTTAAAAACCGGCGTACGTTTCATTATTTATCATTGATCGCATTTAGAACTATTCTAATGGATTTACTTTTTTGGTTTGCCCAGATGCCAACGATAGTTTTAGGTCAAGAGGAGGTTGATTGCTTTGCGGCTTGGGTATCCATAGAAGCCGGTCTACCTGAATGTGATGATCCGACAACAGAGATCAAAGTATGTACCTTACCTTATGTGGACAAAGCATGTAATTTATAATATATCTTTTGCAGATAAATTATGGAAAGCTACTTTTGGAGGCGCTGCTGGAGTATTGGACTCCGCCACATAGTATGCCGCCAAATGATATGGAGCCCGACGTGCGCGGCAATGGCTATTTTCAAGTGCCCAAACACACACCTGTCATATTTAGGTGAGTGTAAATGCAAGACTTTCAAACTTGTTTAATCCTTGGATCTTGGTTTCTTCTGTAGTGAGGTGGGTGGACGCACCGTGTGTCGACTGCTGGTGCGCGACGCTGCGGGCGACAGTGAGAGCACACTGCTCCATGAGACGGCGCCGCAATGGGTGACGGACGTTGTGATCGAAAGAAATATACCCAAATTCCTAAAAATACCGTTCTTCCTGCAGCCACATCCACAAATGACCAAGCCCGAGCGCACCAAAAAGGTATGAACAACTCTTAAACGAAATGTAAACTTAATATAATCATTTGGTTTGCGTGGACAGGATCGCCTGGTGGCCAACGAGTTTATACAGTGCCGCAAGGTGTGCGAGCATGTGCTGGAGAAGGTGCTTAATGCGGAAACAACGCCTAGCGGCGGCAATGCTAACAACTCATTACAAAATAGTCAAAGCGATGCCAATTCGGAGGGATCTCAGCTGCCAGCGGAGGAGCGCATAGAGTTGTGGTGCAACGATGTGGTAAGTGAAACTAAGAATCCGCATACGGATTTTATTTTTAGCTAATGTTTTTTATCTGTCTCAGATCGTTGATCCGAATATGGATCTGCGTACAGTGCGTCATTTTATATGGAAGCAATCGACTGATTTAACATTTCAATATAAAACAAAGCAGAACTTTAACTTTGATGGTAAATAATGCAACATTTGCGAACACAACAACACAAAATACATACACACACACACACACACACACACACACACACAGTGAGATTTATGATGATAATTATTTTATAGTCTAATAGTTAGTTGTGTTTATCCACCCAATAGGTTCAATCGGTGATAGCTTGGAGCGCGTGACTCGCAAGTATTGAGCGCGGTTCAGCTACCAGAGTATTGTGCTTTACCTAAGGCGTTGCTTTCCACAGACGCATGTGATTTCAATATTTTATGTTTCTTTGTTATTTAATGGGCTAAAATTGATCAAACACATTTGTTTTTTGTATGTACTTTTCGACTTTTTTATTCTGTCAATTCATTTAACAACATTTAATTTGGATTTGTCCAAAACACTTACACTAAATGCACGCAAATGGTGTTCTTTTTGTTTAGGAATAAAGTGAGTTTTACATATACTATATATATATAGATCAAATATCGGTGTCTGTAGCCGTACATAACATTGGATAAAATCGTATTCACACTTTTATACATACCATTTGCATAAACGAACATAAATACAACAAGCACACCAAGCAAACGCCCGTCTATAAACAGTTTCATAAAGCAGCTAGAGATCGATGCATATATATATATATATATATATATATATATATGTATATATATATGTTGTATGTACGTTTGTTTACTTATTAAATACATAAACATATAATTCTAAGTAATCTGTTATATGATAAAAGAAAAAAGAAACAATGCAATTGTAGAAAACATATAAACTCATATATGCAAGCCAATTTGTAAATAAGAGAAAATGAGAGGAAAAAAAAACTTACAAAAATCAATCAAAATCATATTAAATTATTTGGAAATCAAGCTTGGCTTTCCTTTCCTTTCATAGTAAACGAGCCCAACTTATGACTAAAACTTAATAGATATTTCTATATTCGTGACGATTTCGCGCGTCTCTCTACCGGCGATTTCTCATGCGCCGCCTCATTTGGTTCGCCTGGCTGCAGTAGGCCTCGATGGTGTTGAGCAAGATATGCATCTGTTGCTTCAGTGTTACAGGTATCATGTAGCTATTGATGTACTCTCGTGGTGCATCGTAGGTACGCTTTAGCCATCTGACAATGAGCCACAAGCAGTTGTCCCTCAGTGTGCGCAGCGGAAAGTGTATCAGGATTTGGCTTCGCACATCGCACAGCTCTTCCGGCTGTTGCGGATTTCTGGGCACGCGTATGCGCACAGGGAAAAACAAACGCTGCGACCGCACATGCATACGTTCGCCAGTATAATAATCGCGAAAGAACCAAATGTGCGTATTATACGTATTTACGGGCACTCCCTCGTTCGGCTTTAATGTTACCTGAATGTTTTCCGTGTCCGGATCGCGTACCCAGTACAGATCTACTGTGCGATTTGTTGTGTTGACAAACAGCACGTAGACCTCGACTTCTTCTTGGGGCATTGCTCGTAGGTGTTCGCCCCATTCGCGATTGTTGCGTGCAATCTGCATCGCCATATTAAGACGAGTGCTTACTCGATCATATAGTTAACTTTTGAAAAACAATTCAAATTTAAATTTGTTTTCTTTTCTGGTTTGTTTGCTTTTTCAATTTGCTCAAAGCGTACAAGTGTCTGTATGTATCTTCTTCTATAGTTGTCGTTCACAGTTTGCCGTGCAATTCACACAGAACTCGGACAGTTTCTAGCGAGTTGGCAGCTCTGCTGGATATTAACAGCTGATTTTTAATGTAAACGCACATAAGAACAAAACTAGGCGAGTTTTGGAATAAATAATGGCATTTTGCATTGCTGTGATTGGTAAAGACGTCAGTTCTGCTTAATTTGTAATGTTTATATGCCTAAAAACGTGAATTGTGCTTCTTTTAGAATGCGCCATTGTACTTGGCCACATCCGATTTGGAACGGGAGTTGGATCTGCAATATCATGTACATGCAGCACTCGACGTGGTTGAAGAAAAGTGTCTAGTGGGCAAGGGTGCACCCGAGTCCAAGGAACTCTACTTGGGCCTGCTCTTTTCCACAGAGAATCATAAAATGTAACAGCAGCAAAGTAAAGCTCATGCATCTCCAACTTCAATAAAAGAGCACTGTTTCATTTCAGCTACGGTTTTGTCACCAACTCCCGGGTCAAGTTTATAGTTGTCATCGATTCCAGCAACATCGCATTGCGGGAGAACGAAGTGCGTGCGGTATGTGCAAGTGATTTTGGAAGCTGTAATTGCTCTTAAACTAATTATTTGCTTTGCAGATATTTCGCAATTTGCACATGCTTTATACGGACGCTGTTTGCAATCCATTTTACATTCCGGGCGAGCAGCTGACCTCCAAGTAAATGAATCAATCATTAAATGGTTTTATTTTATTTCATTTACCTTTTTGTTTCACAGAAAATTTGATCGAGCAGTGCAGAAACTTATGAGCAGCAATGCTTAACGTTAAGATTAGGTATTTATTATATTAACTTATGCTACCTATACCCCTAGAAATAATCATATACATTTGTACCCAACTAACTTGCTAAATAAACAATCTGTTGAAGAAAACTTAACTTACAATTTAGACAATTGTATTGTAGTTCCAGACATATCAGCATGCAGAAACCAAACCTAGTCATATCCGTGTCTATTGTTATTGAACATCCCGAAAAGGTCACAAATTGATTTATTTATGAATATGCATGTGTAAATAGCTATAAAATTGTAGAAATAGAAATTCTTTCAGTAAGTTGTTATCTTTGTTAAAGTCAAGGTCGCTCTTAATTTATGCAAAGCAGATTAAAGTCTGATCCATGGAACAAATTTTCAGTGATTCGAATGAAAAGATGTTGCAATAAAATGTTAATAAACATCATATTTAAATAAAAAAAAAATTCACACATTAGTGCACGGTTTAAAAACCTGTTGATCACGTGAGACGATGCCAAAAATTGAATGCAAATTAAATGTCTTGGGCGGAAAAACGATAATACTTGTATTCAATACGACTACGCTGACACACTACATGTGAAGAAAAGCTTAAGAGTTCGAGTATTGGATAATAATATTATGCCAAATGCACATGTTGCAATTAGTAATAAGATCTATTTATTAGCATGAAGTTGTGCTTAAGGAAAAGAACCAGATTAGTTGGATCTATGACATAGTTAGAATATCTGAAGGGTTAGAATAGCGACTGACGATTTAATTTATATTATTTATGACGCATATGCATGTTTTCTAGTTGATAATTAGTATATGTCATGCATATTTCCGCTTGTTTTAATGCTGCGAACTTGTTATGTTTATAAACCAAACGAGTATCGAGGAGATCAAACGGCATGTGTATTACGTGGTAAGGCAGAGCTAGAGAGACACACTCAAAAATTGTGTTTAAAAATTCATTTGTACTGAAAATAATAATATATTTACATAATTAATGATAATCAAACATTCCTAGCGCCACAGACGAAACGTATAAAAGCTTTGACTAACCAGACAGCGGATATCAGTTAGTCTTTCCAAGTCTTTCCGCAAACAACATGAAGTGAGTTATTCTCAAAACTAAATCAAGCAAAGTATGAACAAATCCTTTGCCTTCACAGATCGCCCTCGCCTGCCTGGTGACATTGGCCTACGCCAATGAAAATGCTAATGTGTTAAAGAGAGAACAGGAGGTCAACGTTAACGACTTCAAGTATGCCTACGAGTTGGACAATTCAGTGAAAGTCGAGCAACAAGGTGCCCTGAAAGGAGAAGATATATGGCAAGTGGGGGCAACCAGGCATGGACGTCTCCTGAGGGAGAACAAATTCATCTTCAATACGTGGCTGACGAAAACGGCTACCAAGTTATTTCTGCTAGCCCCGCTCTGCCAACCCCACCGCCAATCCCAGAGGCAATCCAAAGGGCAATTGAATGGATCGCAGCTCATCCAAAAAGTGATGAATAAAACTAAGCTACATTTTGTTAAAAATAAAAGCATAAAAATGTAAAAAATTCATATATGTAGTAATTTCTTAAGCCAAGCAGGAGCAGTTCTTCTGCTTTCCCCTCTTCATATATATATATAAATACATGAAAATTTGTATATAATATATGTTAACGAAAAAAGTGATATACTATTTCTGCGCATGGCTTAAAGAATTCATATTTTAAATCTTATGTCTCCAGGTTTAAAAAAAAAATTGTATATTATATTTCTGTGTTAAACAATATCTATTCCAAATATAATGTCCCTGGCATTTTCGGATTTCGAGTTCGTCCTGAATAATATATACCCTTTATGGGCTCGATATTGATAAAAGTTGCAAAATACTGGGTATCTTTTAGTCAACCATTTGTTTCGATTGTTGATCACTTTTCAAAATAATAGATAAATTATCTCCATGCCTGTGTGTTTTTTGTTTTTTTCTTGTTTATTTCGGGGATGCACAATTAATTTGCCCCCAAGCAATATGATAATTTACATTTTAAGCATATGCAATTGTATATATACGATATTTCTTATATTATTTGATTTCCGTTTTGTTTGCCAGTGCCAGGAAACAAGTTATTCACAAATTATAGCGTCGCATATGCAAATGAGGGTCAAATTTGACACGCACAAATAGCTGAAATTCATATACATACCCTAGGTGGTCGGCTGTTAGACAGACAGACAGACGGATAGACGGAAGGATGGACAGACGGATGGATAGACAGACAGACTGACGTATGTGCTAACAGGCAATAAAGGTTAACTGCGGCACGTTGAAGATGAAATGCCCTTGCGGCTTTAATTATATTGTATTTATTATAAATATTTTATTATATTTTTTTTAATGTATATTTATCTATTATCTATTACATATTTATTTATTACATATTTTTTTATTATATATTTATAACTCAATGGCTTGCGGCTTTGCAGATATGTGAGAATATTTGCTTAAAATATCGTGGAAAACAAAAATGTTGATCTTACAAGAGCCTAGTTTTACGTTCTCGTGGCAGTTATGATCTGATATAGTGTTACGATCCGCCATATTCCATACTACCTGCAACAGAAAGGAACTATCCAAGGTGTAGAGACGATAAAATTGAGAGTCTCATAGAAATGTGTGTTCATTTTGAAACAATATAAATAAATTAATTACAAAAGAGGAGTCTAGAAGGTCTAGGGTCTAAAAGGAGGAAGCAGATAGAAATATATATATATATATAGTCTATATATATTTTGATTCTAGTCTAGCATATATTTACCTCATGAGGTTCTATGCATTACACATTTCATGACAAAATTATAATGCCCCCCTCTACAAGGGTATACATCCATGGGATATTTGGTTTCAGTGCCATGTTCATATTAAATATTTGTTTTGTCGAAAATTTCGCCTCACTTTTGATTTCATTTTGTATTTGGGCCTCGATCTGCGGCCTTGTGCTCTAATATATTCTTAATAGAAATGTTTAGCCGCAATTAAAGACCATTTGCTATGCTTTCAGTTTCGTTATGCAGTTTTCATGGTTGAAAAGTAGGCAACAGTTTTGTAGGCGCTGCGCGAAAACATGTTATTCTATTTAATATTTTAAAATTAATAACTTAAAACAAAAAATCAATTTGCTGTGTAAACCAATTAACATGAGCTGTAAATTTGATGGCCCTTGAGCACGATCAAGTAGTTGGATGCTTTAGCATTTGGCGACTGGCAAAGTGAATGCCATCAATTAGCTGGCCAAGAAGAGGAGCCCCGCAGCCCCCCAGACCCGCAGCCCCTGCTGGCAGTTGCTGTAAAAGTGATCCGGGCGACGATCAAGGTAATAACAACTCGAAGCTGAAGTTCGCCGTCGCCGTCGCCAAATGTCAAAAGAACAAACAACTCTTGTTCTGGTTTTCCAAAACACGTAGCAGCTAATTGCATCAGAAGCCCAACTTGAAAAATGTTGACAGAGTGTAAGCGAAAACTAATTTTCCATCAAAGGCAGAGAGCAGACGAGATGCCAAGACGTCAACATATGCCAAAGCAGATGTCGACGCTGTCCATCAAGAGAGCGCTCAGCTGTAAAAAGAGAAAAAAAAAAACCACTTGAATATAGCTTCAAACTGAATCAATAAACTGACCATGGAGGACGTGCCAATAAAACGCAGTCAATAAATCTACAAGTACATTAACACTTTTTCTACCAAAGATAACTTTTCAACTTTTCTTGGCAGAAATCGTCTTAAATTGCAATTACTTAAAGGCAAGCTATGCGAGTAAAGTAACCATGGAGGACAGCTTCAAGTAATTATGCAAAAGAGTATATCGAATCTTGAAGGCAATCTTTATTTCTAGCTGAATTATTGGCGCAATATTTTAGCCGCACATTAAAAACAAATAAAACAAATGGTCAATATGTCAAAATGACGTCAAAATTATTGTCAGCTTTCTCATAATTCATAAACAAGTTGTCCAAATTTCTTAAATTATAGTTATATATATATACCTATACCCAATTAGCAGACGCTGCGCACTTTAATTTGGCCGGAAAAAATAGAATATTTAAATGCCAGATATAAATCAATTAATACCCATATACTTCTGTCGTAAAACAAAACAGGCATTAATAATACTTATTGCCGTTTAGAATTTAATTTTAAATGAGGAAACGCGTCGCGTCAAAAATCCAAGAATTTTCGAATCGCTTATAAAATTGTCTTCGGACCTCGCCCCAACTTCTGTGTGGGCGGATCGCTGGGGAAAATGTGGATTTTTTTTTAAAGAAATGTGTGAAGCCAATTAATTAATACGGTTAGTTATTTGATGATTCGATGAAATGATCGTGCTTATAAATTTGTGAGTGTGGCGCCTCGGTGATCGATTCTCACACTAAATCAAAGTGTGAAATACCAATTGTGCCTGTGATTCAATTAAAATCGCGTGCCATTATAATATGCACTGTAAGAATTTGTTGTTATACTTATGAGTAACCAAATTATCCAAGCATTCATATCCATTCATTTCATATATATTCATTTAACATGTGACATAAAAACTATTTAAATAAGATGTAAGGTCTGTGAAAAAGTGCTGACCATTTTGTCAGACTCTTGAGAAAATGAATTTAGCAAAGAGTTCAGGAAAAATTCAGGCTTTAATTTAAATTGTAATTAAAATTACTCACGTCAACTGGACATTATTTTCCTACTATTTAAATACAACTTTAACGACTGTGAGAAAGTGCCGCCCATTTGGTCAGACTCATGGGAGAATGTTTTTAACAGAGAGTATTTAGTATTCGGTATCTAATTTAAATTGTCATTAAAATCAATCACGTTAACCAAATATCATTATCCAAAAACGCAAATGTTTCGCATTCCCATATTCATATATCGATTATGCATGCATTTAACATATAACAGAGAAACTAATTTAAAGTTAGAAAGAAAGTGCTGCCCATTTTGTCAAAATCGTAAGAAAATGTATTAAACAGAGCATATTTAGTATTCAGTATTTTATTTAAATTGCAACTTAAAATATTCAACTCAACTCTTTATTATTATATTACGAACATCTTTGTCGATTTCCTCTGTCAGTTTTCTTGCAGTGTAGTATATAAATATAATCATTGTTCTCCACGTTAAGCTTAGCAAACCACTACAAAAAAATACTTATTACTCTTGCTGGTGAGCTGGTGGCCGGCAGCAAAGTAAACACCGCCAAATGCTCAATGACTTTACAGTGTTTTTCGAAAATGAAATAAAATTTGAAAAATGCCTCTGTGCGAGTGTGTGTGTGCGAGTGTGTGTTGGCTTTTTTGTTGTGTTCTGCGTACTTTTATTTTCGAAATACTGTTGAAAACCATAAATTAGCTTGTTACTTTTGGAATGCAGCATTCAGTGACGTGAGTGTGCCTGAGTGTGTGTGTCTCTCTCTGTGTGTGTGTGTGTGTGTGTGCGTGTGTGTGTGGGTGTGCTTAGTGCTTGGAGCATATGAAGAAATAAGGAACTAATTCATTTGGGCGCACAGTCGTTAGCGGTGATCTTTTGTGTGAAGAACAAAGGCAGAGCAGAAAAACTCAAACATGGACAACATTGTGAGTTTTCGGGAATGGGATTTGTTGGGGGATCTATGGTTAGCCCTTGGTTATGTGATTACGTAATTAACAGGATGAGGATCTGACACCTGAGCAAATTGCGGTGCTGCAAAAGGCATTTAACAGCTTTGATCACCAAAAGACTGGCAGCATACCCACCGAAATGGTCGCCGATATACTCCGTCTGATGGGTCAGCCCTTCGACAAGAAGATTCTCGAGGAGCTGATCGACGAGGTCGATGAGGACAGTAAGTGCTGATCAACACAAACATACCCTATATATACGATATATCAATATATTATTTGCTTAGAATCTGGCCGTTTGGAGTTCGAGGAGTTTGTGCAGCTGGCCGCCAAATTCATTGTGGAGGAGGATGATGAGGCCATGCAGAAGGAACTGCGCGAGGCTTTCCGTCTCTACGATAAGCAGGGCAATGGCTACATTCCAACCTCCTGTCTGCGCGAGATTCTCCGCGAGCTGGACGATCAGCTGACCAACGAGGAACTGGACATCATGATTGAGGAAATCGATTCCGATGGCTCCGGCACGGTCGACTTTGATGGTAAGCATCCTACTCCCTCCCTACCCATCCCCCCCAACTGTCAAAATACTGTGCCGCACTTTGGCTCCATGCCAGAAACAAATGCTGGCCATGGCGACACCATTTGCCGCCCCTCTCCGGCTGCTTCTCCATTAGGTTGTGCCTGCTCTTGTGTGGCGTCTATTTTTAGTTGTGTGTATCTAGATACATGTATCTTTATCTAATGCCGAGCACTAAACGCAACCCTTTGAAATTCTTTCATTTACAGAATTCATGGAAATGATGACGGGCGAATAAGCACCAAGATTTCAAGCCAAACAACAAATAAACATTTCTACATTTTTCTCAACAATATGCACAAGGGTCTTAAATAAAATACACACACATATAAAACAATATTTGCGCGGATTGACTGACTGACTGACTTGTTGACTAAGCTTGTTCCAGGTAACATATAGGAGCACATATATTTCACATTCCCAGTTTCCCAGATTAAGAAGCGCTTAAAAGCATGTGCCCGGGCAATGCCGGTTAATGCCAGCCATTTCGTTCTAATACAGCTGAAAGCTGAACTGTTTTATGCTTGAGTCAAGTACTGGCACAGCTGGCTGCTTGTGGCCAACGATGAGCTCTAACAATTGCGCTAAAATTAATCAATTCTCAAACAGGAACTATTTAAGCTAACGGAAAACCCAGCACAACACAGAACACGGCACACAGCACACGGCACACGGCACACAGGTACGCAGCATGCGGCAAACACTTGCCTCACACTCGGCATATTGCATCAGAGTTGGGCTCTGAGTCATGGGGTTAATTAAGGTCCGCAAGCAGCAATTATAAGAGTCTGATTTGAACTCTGATTGATCAGATTGTACGTTTTGCATTTTGAATGCAACTCATTTGTGTGTTAATTTGGCAAGGCCAATCCGGCGTATGATTAATATCGCCATACACATATAAATATATCACGTATACGCACCGTTTCATTGTCTTGCACTGCGTGCAAATTCCTTTGCCACTTGGCTGACCTTCTCGCTGCGGCTGGCTGCAAGCAGGCCTGCTGCAACACATCTGTTGGCCACAAGAAAATATAATTTTGTCATTTTATACGCTTGCCGACGGGTCCTATAAATTGTTCACAAAATACGATCATGAAATAATGAATGGATACGTATTTTTGGATCGGACCACTATATCATATAGAAACAGTACAAAGCGCACTCTTTGTATAAACAACTTTTTTGTAATTCAAGCAAGTTGCATCAAAGGGTATCTAATCTTCGGCTACATTGTCTTTTCTGTTGTACTTCGTTTTTTGTGCATCTCACAGTTTGTTGACTCAATAATTGAATTGCAGCCAGAACAAATAAATTGGCCAAATGTTGCCATTGCTTGGGCGTGAATGAGCACAGAACGCAGCAACAAAAAGGGCATGCACGACGGCCAGATGCCCTGTAAAAGTTTGAGGTATGCGAAAAGCAGAAATCATTTGCGCAACTTATGTGCTTGCTTTGATGCCAGCTTGTAGCACGTATATGTAAACCCGCAGCTGATATACCCCACTTGTCGCTCGACTTGTTGGGTATGCATTGTTGCCATATGACAAAAGTTGCACACAAGCAAAAAGAAGATGTTGACAACGTGCAGCTCGTCTTCAATTGTTGCTGCTTGGCTGCCAAGTTTGCTGCCTTTCTAAATCACAACACAACAACAAACATAACAACAACAAATAACAATTCTTCAAATGTCAATGTGCATTCCCTAAGTTGGTTACGCTTAGTTATAGGTAAATATATATATATATACCATACACATACATATATATGTTTGAATGTTGCTTGCATGTTTTGGTTTCTTGTTGCCCATATTAAAAACGAAATGACAAAATTGTGCCCAAAAACTAAACGAAATTCGCGAGCAACTGCCCTTTGCTGTTGCTATGTTATTATACCCTGAAAATTTGTGTAAAAGGGTATAAAAGGGTATATAAACACAAGCTGTTCAAGACAAGAAATTTAGACACTTGACATTTGAAATATATATTCTCATATTTATTTATTTATATAAACTAATTATAGAGCTAAAACTAAATGTTAAGTAATGGCAATGGCTGCCAGGGCCTTCAGCTGGACATTACTTGGGCCTTTTTTATATAGGTCATCCCATTCCCACGGAAATTGAAAATAATTTATTTTTAAAGATAAGGCCATACATCAAATCTGGATGTCATAGTTATATATTTACATTTTTACAAAGATCGGAATATTAACAACTATTTATTTAAGAAAAAAATGCTCCTAGATAATTTCTGCTATATAAGAAGCCCAGCCTGCGAGCTACTGATTGTTTTTATGGATGAACTTGGAATATTTGAGAAGGCATCTCGAAGCCGATTACAGGGTATTTTCTGCAGGCTATTTCCAAAGTTATTCAAGAACATATTGCTCCTAGTGTGGGGCTAAGAGCAGAATATATAGGGCACAGTTTTTCAGCTTATTTTTGTTTTTATGGATGTAGCTGGAATATTTGAGACGGCCTCACGAAACTGGTTACAGGGTATCTTCTGCTTATTATGACTTGTTGTTGTTGCGCTTGTTGTTGCTGGGGTCAATTAAATTCGGGAATTTTTTGGCCGGCTGCAAAGATGCCCTGAGGCTGCGTTGGGTGTTGCTATCGATATTAATGCTATTTATGACCCCTGTCAGAGCTGAGGAAAAGGTCAAACTCTAGACGGATTGCCAAATTGTGCTGTGTTTTAAAAAAGAATTTCAACGCCTCAAAGGGTCAGTTTGTAGATTTATTGACATCCGTTTCATGATGATGAGGCTGCAAAGTTGTAAAGTTCGCATGCAAATTGGGAATGGGTTGGGATTGGAATGGGAATTGGCTGGGCTGGGATGGGTTGAGAACGCCGGAGCCAGCGTTCAGCTTCGATTGGGCTGCAATTTACGAGCGCAAAAAGCGCTAACTGGTAGCTGGGCAACTGGTTAACTGAAAGATGCGCTGACGAGCTCCGGGAGAGCCCGAAGAGTGCGGCGCGAGTGCCTCAGTTGTTGCATTGAGCAAACGCCAAGACAATGGCCAGAGCCAGAGCCAGAGACAGAGCCAGAGCCAGAGACGAGATGTTGCTGTCGTGTCTGTCTCCCTTTTGGCATGCAATTGTTTTTGCCAGCTGCAGCAGCAGCAACAACAACAACAACAACAGCAGCAACAACGACAATAAATGCCATAAAGTATCAAAATCTCAGCCTCAGCTTCGGCTTCGTTCATTCCATTCCATTCGATTGCACTTGGCGCCAAGCGCGCTGCATTTGTATAAAAGCCGGAGAACCTGCGCTCCACTCGGCACACAAGTTCCGTGACAATAGACGCGGCCACAGCACCGATTCGCGACAATTGGTACCCGGCCAAGCAAACTAAAAGCCATTAACTAGGACTTCCATAGATGAGACGCATTCTCTGAAACTAGCGCGTGCGTGTGTGTGTGTGTGTGTGTGCGTGCGAGTGCGTGTGCTCAAGTGTTGTGCACACACCCCAAGCCAGGATAAGACTTTACTGTGTTTCTAGGTTTCTACTGAAGCGGCAGACGTGATGCTGCTGAAATTGGTGAGTTGTCGGGCAGGACTTTTGGCTATTTTAATATAAATTAAAAAAAAAATAGTGCTTATGTCCAGAGGGCCTGACTAGCAGGTACCCTAGAACTTACCCATAAAGTTAAATACACAGAATACAAGAGCTTTACACCAAGAATGTTGGTTCTAGCTCCCAAAATCTTGGAGTCAAATCTCAAATGTTTTTTTTAAAAAGAAAATTATTTTAATAATCGACGTTTATATAAAGAAAAACAAGAATGCTTCAGTCGAGAGAGCCTGACTGGTAGATACCCTAGACACTAAATACACATACCTCTTACCAAGAATCCTGCATTTAGCTCCTTTCATCTTTGGGTTATGCTCATCTCATCTTAAAACCATCTAGCCTACTTCAAAAAACATCTAAAACTATTATTTAAAAAAGGAAGGAGAAATTGAAAAATGTTAATAGAGTCGTGCTGCGCATGTAAATATACTTCAAATCTCAAGAGTATGTTCCTTTTAGTTCCTTAGTTCCTGAGACTGACACAGAGAAGAGATGACTAAAACGACTTGGCACATAACCAATATACCCCTTTTGCCTTTGCGAACAGAGTATGCAAGACATGTAAGCTACAAGATTGACAGGTTGTGCGCAACATGTTTGTTCTGTCAGAAAATTACGTCATACGCTCAAGTTCCTATTCAACTTGATTCGACAAACATTTTTGTAGCACTATGTAACTTGGAAGATAAAGTTAAAGATAAAGTTAAAGATGCAGAGACCAGTTTTCCAAGTTATCTTAAGGTTCTGACTAGTGCGTATTGGATCAGGCAGAATCGATCAGATTAATAAGGATTACATCCGAAATGGGATCAGCAAAACATATTGTTTTATGGAAAATGAAAAGCGTTAAAGATCAAAGGATATATATCAGCTTGATTTTTAAATTTATTATATATTCGAATTGATATATATTATAATTGATATATTTTAAAATTGATTATAAATAATATATATGTCCAGCACAAGCATCCACAGTTGATCTATGCCTTGAGCTAGTTGAAGTAAGCTCATGTTAGATAAGTTAAAAGTAAGTTTAGGTTAAATCTCGACTCGGACATCCAGATGTCCCTGGTGGTAACTGTGGAGCTAGTTAGATATTCCCATTCATTTATGTTAATCCAATTTTGCAACTAATTATAGAAAAATCAATGCTAGTTGCATGTGAAATTGCGATTCGCTCATTTGAAATTCTGAGAATTCGTTTGCTGTGCGAATTGCCATTTCGACAGCTCCGCTTGAATATTGCCCAATTGGGCGCAGATGCCGCCGCGCATTATTTCCGTTCTTTGCCACCAAGTTACCAAGTTGCTGCAACATGTTGTCTGCTGCAACACGCCAGCAACAGCTGCAACTGCAACTGCAAAGATTTAAGCGAAACGCATAAATTAAAACCCTATTAAAAATCAACGTCTGCCAGTTCATTGATGAAAAATCTGCATAGCACGCAAAGTTGCCCAAGAGCAACAGCAGCAGCAGCCCATCGTGCACGCCCCCGCCCCCGCCCCTTGTGCATCACCCTCCTCCCCACCTCCTTCAAGAAAATCAAAATCTTTAAGATTTATGCGGCGACGACCCAATTGTCAGGCCATTGGAAATTGGCTTCAAAGCCTAGACAGAGGCTGAGGATGGGCTGCGGATGGGCTGAGGATGGGCTGAGGATGGGTATTGTATTACAACAGTTCAAAGATCTGGTCACGAACTGGTCGCAGGAGCACACACAAACTAAATGTCAAATTTCTGAATTTCAACAATTGCTGCTGCGTTGCAGCCTAATAAAGGCTGTCTATAAAGCTGTTCAGTCCGCTGGCCAATTAAACTAAACGCTTTAAACTTCAACTTGACACTTGGCTGAGTCGGTTGGTAGCTTGCCTTATGCCTCATGCCACTTGCCACAAATGCTTGCTTAACCTTCTGCGTGCTTCTTCAGAGATTCACACGCTGCCAGCAACTGTTGCAACTTTTGCAGCAACTGTTGCTAGCAAATATCAGAGTTCATTAATCTGTTTACCGCCTCCTCCCCCCAATTGATGCCTCTGTCGATTGGTTTAATAGTTGTCTTTAAGAGCCTCAATAAACGCGTTAATAGCAACAAATGTAAAACGTGAGCGCATTGTTAAAATGCCAAAGTTTTTCATATTTTCATGAATTATTTTTCTGTTGATTTTCCAACTATTCATTCATGAGGCGTCTGCCAGCTACTTGCTGCCTGCTGCTGCTGTCATCTGCCATGTTTTGCATGCGTCGCTGTGCCAGCTGTCAGTTAACGATTCATGAACGGATGAATCACTCGTTGTTTACCCCAAAAGAATGGGGCACAGCGTGTGTCTCTCTATATAGTTTGCATTGGGCATTGTCTATGTCTGCGACTTGACATTAAACGTTCACTTGCTGCTCTGTTAGTTATTTAACATTAAGTTATCAGGTGGCTAAGGTTGGTTGTAAATGTTATAATTATAATCAATGGATACTGATCCGTTAAGAATTAGGTAAAGTTCATGTTATAACCTTCATTTCTTCATTGCAATCATGAATTTATCTGGAGGCTAAACTTGAATGTAAATCTTATAACTTAAATATAAGAAAGTCGCTTTCTCTTTGTTGTGGAACATAGTTGCTGCTCTATTTAACATGAAGTTATCAGCAGGCTAAGATTGATTATATAGCTCTCAAGATAGGAGCTCGGAATACTTTAAGACATCAGTAATCAGAGCTTATACCAACTTAAAATCTTGGGTAGACATCTGACCTTTATGGAAATTAGTTGTACACACCTCCTCCTGCCTAAGAATGACTCCTTCCACTCGAAATGTAGATTCGCTCATGCAGCATGTTTGCTTATTTTGGGCGCCAGACATCGCCCACAACTTGGGCAAAACGTGCATCATGATGGCACATGGGTTTTGTGCTGTGGGCTGTCAGACGCTCCAGTGAAACCTTGCCATGTGCTGATATGCACCGCTGACCTGGTGGCCGCATCGCTGGGCCGTCGACAGCTCTGCATAAATTAGTAATGTCAGTTGCCTGCTTTGCTAATCTCCCATCTTTCTGGCAGACTCTGCTGACAACTCTGCTGACGCTGACGCAGGCGGCGCGGCTGGATAACAAATACCTGCCACCGCCAGCGAATGCGGCCAGTGCGGGCGGCGGAGCTGGCACGGGACTACAAGGTCCGGGCGGCGGAGGCGGCGGCGGCTTTGGTGGCAGCAATAATGGCCTGGGCGGCATTAATAACGGACTCGGTGGATTCTCTGGCGGGGGCGGGCCCAGCAGGCCAATTGGAGCAGCTCCCTCTCCGCCACGTGCACCCAGCGCTCCGGCTCCGCCCGCCGGCGGACCACCAATACCCATTTTGTCCTTTGTAAACGAAAATGATGGCGATGGCAACTATCGCTTCAGCTACGAGACGGGCAACGGCATCAAGGCGCAGGAGGAAGGAACCGTGAAGAATAAGGGCTCCGAGAACGAGATACCCTCGGTGATGGGCTCCTACACCTACACCAATCCGGAGGGTGAACTAGTTGAGATCTCCTACACGGCAGATGAGAACGGTTTTGTGCCATCGGGAGCTGCTCTTCCCACACCCCCGCCCATTCCGGAAGCCATAGCCAAGGCGCTGGCAGCCCAGGGCATCTCTCCCCTTCCTGGCGGTGGCTACAGCGGAGGTGCTGGTGAGTTTCTATTATAGACAGCTTTTTTCAGTCTGTGGCCTTAACTTTACTTCTCTATTGGCGCAGGTGGTGGTGGTGGTGCTGGAGCCGGAGGCGGAGCTGGCGCGGGAGCAGGTGGATTTGGTGGCGGTGGCCGAGGTGGCGCACCTGGCGGAGGTGGTGCTGGAGCATATGGCGGAGCTGGCGGCGGCGCTGGCGGATACGGAGGAGGTGCAGGTGGTGCTGGAGCTGGCGGATTCGGAGGTGGCGCAGGTGGTGCTGGTGCAGGAGGATTTGGTGGAAGCGCCGGTCGTGGTGGCGCACCAGGCGCTGGTGGCACTCCAGGATTCGGTGGTGCTGGCGGAGCAGGTGGAGCCGGCGGATTCGGTGGCGGTGCTGGCCGAGGAGGTGCACCTGGCGGTGCTGGAGCTGGAGGATTCGGCGGTGGCGCAGGTGGTGCTAGTGCTGGAGGATTCGGTGGCGGTGCCGGTCGGGGAGGAGGCGCTGGAGGTGGTGCTGGCGGTGGTGCGGGAGGAGGTGCTGGAGCTGGAGGCTACGGTGGAGGCGCAGGAGCTGGTGGAGCTGGTGGATTTGGTGGTGGCGCAGGTCGTGGAGGCGCTGGAGGTGGTGCTGGAGCTGGAGGTTACGGTGGCGGCGCAGGTGCTGGTGGAGCTGGTGGATTTGGTGGTGGTGCAGGTCGTGGAGGTGCACCAGGAGGTGGCGGTGCTCCAGGCTTTGGTGGTGGCGCAGGTGGGGCTGGAGCTGGAGGATTCGGAGGCGGCGCTGGTCGTGGAGGTGCTGGAGGTGGCGCTGGAGGTGGTGCTGGCGGTGGTGCGGGAGGAGGTGCTGGAGCTGGAGGCTACGGTGGAGGTGCAGGTGGAGGTGCAGGTGGTGCTGGAGCCGGTGGCTTCGGAGGCGGCGCTGGTCGTGGAGGCGCACCAGGAGGTGGTGGCGCACCAGGCTTTGGTGGTGGTGCAGGCGCTGGCGGAGCCGGAGGATTCGGAGGCGGCGCTGGTCGTGGAGGTGTTGCAGGTGGTGCTGGAGGAGGCGCAGGAGGTGGTGCTGGAGCTGGCGGTTATGGTGGAGGCGCAGGTGCTGGCGGAGCTGGTGGATTCGGAGGCGGTGCTGGGCGTGGTGGCGCACAAGGAGGTGGTGGTGCTTCCGGATTTGGTGGTGCTGCAGGCGGACCCGCAGGCGGCGCTGGACGTGGTGGTGCACCAGGCGGAGCGGGCGCTCCCGGCATCGGTGGTGCTGGAGGGGCAGGTGGCGCTGGAGGATTCGGTGGTGGCGTGGGTCGTGGTGGTGCACCTGGCGGAGGTGGTGCTCCCGGATTCGGTGGTGGCGCTGGGGCCGGAGGCTTCGGAGGTGGTGCCGGCCGAGGTGGTGCGCCAGGAGCTGGTGGCGCTGGACGAGGTGGCAGTGGCGGCGGCGGCGGCGGTGCTGGCGGCCCTGGCGCACAATACATTCCTCCTCTTGCAGCTGGTGGTGGACGCGGCAACGGCGAGTTCGATCCACAAACCGGGTACAGCTATTAGATCGCCTAAGGTCGACAGATGAAACCTCAGTGCAACGCATTCTGCCGCTAATTACCCTTAGTTCTTTGCTCCTAAGAGCACAAGAGAGTTCCCCGCTGTCCGATAGCATTACTCTTAAAATTTCTATAAGTTTCCTGTCTTCCAAAATTAAGACTTAGTTCATAAGCTGACAAGAGATAAAAGATATTTAAGGCGTATTTCGAATGTTTCTATAATGTTTCCATTGTTAGAAGCTTCTCACTTGTTGCAAACGATTTCTAGAATAATAAATTAAATGCAAGAAATTTAAGACCTGTGCTTTGTATTGAGTATAATCTATGTAAAAAGGAGGCGCTAGAATGGATGCCAGTATCCTTGGATATTATTATTTTTATTAATTCCTTCTAATTTTCGAGTAGTCCAATTTTCGAATCATTGATTGGTTCCAAAATATCCCTGGAATAACCGTACCAAATATATCGTCCTGGTGAACCTATATATGATCGAAATGGTCAAAAAATATGAATGCTTTTTCTTTCAGCCGCCCCCAGCAACAGCCCCATCCCCCTCGATGGTACCTAGTTGACCCATATGTCCTTGGTCATACCATACCATTGATATAGTCCTGGTGAACCTAGAGAACCAAATCCCTGCAAAATGCGCACGGAAACGGTCTAGAAATATGCATGCTTTTTCCTTTCAGTACCCCTTTTACATATCTGTAGCTTAACAGAATGTTGTGGCTGCTGCTAAAAGCGACAGTTAAAGTATGCCATTAACATTTGAGATAGTTAATTTAGTAGAACATTTTCGCACCTTATGGGTATGCAATGCAATTTTTTATTCACAAAAATTTTAGTACGTCTACCTGCTGCGCATTTCTGTTCGCCTGGTACTACAGCCGAATTTTCGTGAAATCTTATGCCACTTTTAGCAGCAGCTGTTAACGTAGTATGTTAAGTAACAGCTGCTTAGCAGTGAACTGCTCAGTAACAGTTGCTTAACAGCGAACTGTTAAATAACAGCTGCTGCCATAAAAATAACAATTCACAATATACCCTACAGCAAAATTTGATTAAATTTTAAAATGGAAATAACTCGGCTAAATACGGTCCGATTTAGGAATGATATGCCTCTTTCTACTCGTATGGATGCCGACCATCGATTGCTACCCAAAAATCCTCATTCTAAGAAATCAGAAAAAATCTCGCCAAGATCAACGGCGGAGCTATGTCGTTTTGAAGCGACAAAACTCCACCGTTGATCATGGCGAAATTATGTCGTTTTGAAGCGACATAGCTCCGCCGCTCTAAAAACTTCATACGTCATCACGTTTTTTTCGAAAAATGACTTTTTTCTGAAATCGAAAAAGGTGCATGGCATTCGATTCTCTGGCCATCCACGAGTAACCCCTCCCAATCTGCCCTCTATCGTGCTTTATTTGGCCGAGATATGACCATTTAAAGTTTTCGAAAAAATATCTTCACACGTCCGCGCTGGAGATATGACGTTTCAAAACGACATAATTTCGCCATGATCAACGGTGGAGTTATGTCGTTTTGAAGCGACATATCTCCAACGCTCTAAAAAAATCTTGGAGATATGACGTTTCAAAGCGACATAACTTCGCCGTTGACTTGGTGGTTTCTATTTAAAGTTTTCCAAAAAAAAATTCCGTGTGGTTGTGGACATGAGTAATGCAAAGCATTGCATACTTTTGTGCTATCCGCAAATTTCGCTTGAGCATCTTCAAGTAGCTCTTCTGCTGCATACTTTTCGTCCGCGCAGAAAAATAGACCATTCACAATATACACATGCAGCAATTTTAATAAAAAAATTAAGAAGGGAATAACTCGGCTAAATTCAGTCCGATTTCGGCCTAATATACCTCTCTCTACTCGTACGGATGGCGACCATCGATTGCCATCCGCAAATCCGCATTCCAAGAGATAACCCAAAATAATCGAAAAATGACCCAATGAGCCTTCTGTTGTTGGGAAGTTGCAACTTTATTTAAGATCTCGCACAAGGCTATGCAATACATTTGGTAAATAATGTATTAAGACACCGCGTAAAAGTATGCAGTACTTCAAAGTTTTCAATTTAGCTTAGAATTTAACTCTCGCCCCGAAAGTGTGCAACGAAATTCGAGTTGAGTCGGTTAGTCGCAGCATGAAAGTATGCTATTAGTTATGGACTTTTAAATCGCATGCGGATTCAGACCTGTAGATGGCGTTAACTAAATGGTTGCTAATGCAAACAATAGAGAGCGCTACGCTTACAAAATGGAAAATTCACAATAGATGGCGATTACTAATTAAAGGAAGCTTCAAATTTCGAACAAAAGAAAGCGTTTTGATAGGAAATGATGCCGTTTTCATATTTTCGGACAATTTTTTTTGTTGCGAAAATTCGTCTAAAAATTTTTGTTAATATATCTTTTTGAACTGTGGCAACATAATTTTGCCATAAAAATGGGCCTCTTTTGTGATCTAATAGAAAATGTTTTTGGATTTTATGGGCGCATGTATTTCACGCGTTTGAATGCGACTAAATCGACTAACTCGCAAATATATATATATATATATATATTATATATAGCTGATATAGAATTGGATTGTGCTGCTCATAGCTTGGATGACTTCTTGAAGCGTCTGTTGTACTGCTGATTATAGCCATAGGGATCCACCAGCTGGTTGGGTCTGCCCCGCAATTGCTGTGTGATCAGCCCCTGTTGCTGCTGCTCGTTGCGTTGATCCTTTTGCTGCTGTTGCTGCTGCTGCTGTTGTTGCTGTTGCTGCTGTTGTTGCTGCTGCTGCTGGTTGAGATTCTGCTGAGGCTGTTGTTGCTGTTGCTGTGGATTTAGATTTAGATTTAGATTGCTGCCCAGTTGTTGGCCAAATTGGCCCGCATACTGGGCCGGCAATTGGCCCGAGTTGAGCGTGTTGAAGGGCTGCTCCGGCTGATATTGTCCGGTGTTCTGGAAATTGCGCTGCTGCAACTGTTGCTGCTGTTGCTGCTGCTGCGGCGTCAGTTGTTGCCCGGGCGCCGGCCGAAATCCAGCCGTGGACGACGGCAGCTGTCTGTAGGGCGTCTGATAGGGATTCAGATTGGGATTCAGCACGCCCTGCTGATACGGCTGTGCGCCCACAAAGTATGAAGGCGTGGCCGGAATGCCGGTGCCCTCGGCACGAAAGCCATTCTCATCCGCGATGTAGCGCACGGTGATGGGCGTGCCCTCCGGCGAGGTATACGAATAGGAGCCCTGTATGACCTGTTCGGGAATAAAATAAGAAGCAAATCCTTAAATTAAGCCAGGCAAATATGGCTCACCTGCGCCTCTACGCCCTCGCCGTAGCCTAGATTCTTGACATAGCCCTGCGCCTGGGCGGTGGTGCCATCGGCGGCGGCATAGCCATACGAGAAGCTGCCATCCAGATTCAGTTCGTTCTGATACGCCGTGATGGGCACATAATTCCCCTGCTGCTGCTGCTGCTGCTGGTATTGGTTGTAGCGCGCGTAGGGATTGGTCACTCCGGCGGCCAGCGGCGCAATGGCCGGGGCCAAAGGATTTAGCGGGCTGAGTGGATTCAGCGGATTGCCCTGTGCCGGAAACAGACCCTGGCCGGACACCTGCTGTCGCTGGCGCTGCTGGAAGGGCAGCTGCTGCTGCTGCAGCGGCTGCTGCGGCTGGAAGGGTGACTGCTGGAAGGGTGCGCCGGGCAGCTGGGCGCGACCGGCGGCAATTAGCGCCAGCCACAGCACGGAGAACACAAAGCACTGCGAATGGAAACATGGACTTGTTTAGCCGATGAGGGGCAGTGGGGGGGAGGGTTGGTGGAGGAGTATAGCTTTACCCGCATTTAAGCTGTCGACGCTGTCATAAATCTTGCGAAAAACGTTTAACAAATTACACGCTCGATAAAGCTGACGTTTCACTTGCGGGGAAGGGAACGGGTATCGAGTAGCTAGTATCGGGTATCGAGTATCGATGCTGCTGCTGCTGCCACTTGAACTAGACGAAAGCGTTGCAACGACTGCGACTGCAGCTGCGCGGGCCAGTTCTATTTATACGACCAAATCTCGCAGCCAGCCAAGCTCAACCAGCCCCGGCGTGGGCCCTAAAGCGCAGCTCGATCATAAGAATCGCCGGGCGCCCAGCGGCAACGCTTCCTGTCTTCCACTCGCTGGCATCTGGGCAGTTGGGCAGCTGGGCAGCTGGGCAGCTCGGCAGCTAGCTGCCATATCTGACCAACTGCGCTGGCTTGATCTTGATTTTGATCTTGTTATGCCCTGCCCTGAAACATGGCTACGAAACGGGTATATTGCATGTGTGTAGAAGGCATGCAACAGGCAGAAACTGTTCATGGAGCATATTTTCTTAGACTTTGTCCATTTGACAAGGCGTGACTTCAGCATTTACCCTACCTGCCAGCATTGATGGACGATTCTTAGTTAATATAAAAAAAGGAGTATATTTTGTGATCGATTAACAACAAAGAATGCCTTGAACTCGGAGACTTTAACTGTCGTTAATCTCAGCTTAAACTTATCGATAAACTGTTAAATCGATAACTCGATAGCTATCGATATTCAATTTCGATATTGAGATTACATCTATTAAGGGCTTTAGTATGAGAACGAGATAAGAGAATCAATGTAAAAGTTATTAGGGAATATCATTTATTTTGTACGCGACTGAGCTTGTGTTTATCGATAGGCCGTTAAATCGATATTTATCGATATTCAACTTTGATATTGAGATTACGTTAAGAGTATAGCGGCAAAAATATTTTCCCCAATATTTCATTCATCGTTAAGCTCTTTAGATACAGAACGCAGAAGTCATTCGTAACTATTTTGGGGGCACACAGGGTATCCGGTAGTCGGGTGCCCTAAGTGCGAGCTGCTGTTGCTGCTGCTGCTGCTGCTGATGATGGGGGCTGTAATTTATCTACATGCGAATCGTGTTAACAGCAGTTGCTGCTGACGGTTGCTGGTTGGCAGCTTTATTGGTTTTTTATTGGCCATTGACAGAAGGACAAACGAATTTCCAAGCGGAGTTCGAGTTTTTCCGCAACATGTGTGGCTATATTTATGATGTTGCATCTAGAAGATGCATGCCTCATGCCAGCGATACATTGCCGTATGCAAATGTATAGCATTTTTGTTGTTGTTGTTTTGTGTTTTGTTCTCTCCATCGATTCGCTTCTTTTGTTCTTAAGGTGTTTATGTGAGTTATGTGCTGACGGGTTTTTACTGCTCTCGATCGCATCGCATCGCATCGCATCTCGGCTTGGCTTGGCTTTTGGGTTTGTGGGGCTGACTTGGCGTATACGCAACTTTTACTCAATGGTCAAGGTTGAGTTGGAGTCAGATGAAAAACAAAAAAAAAAACAATTGCGCTTATTACTCCGACATTTTTATCTAGACAGGAGGCATGTCTCGCAGATAGAGCCTGTGAATTCTGGCTCTCTACTCCACTCGGAGACGTTCCATTGTTTCTCTGCGCGCATTTGTCATTTATCATTTATCATGCCACAGCGTTCGTCATGGCAAGGCGTTGGTTGGCCCGATCTGTTCAGTTATGATTGTCATAAGTCATTTATAACTTTGTAACTAAGCGCCGTGCCCTAACTGCTCGCGACTTAATGCGATTTGAACATTTTAAATGCGTTCTCGGTTGCAATTATTATAATTTTTTGTTTTGTTTGTTATTCTTTCAACATATCTCGTTTCATGTTTTGCTCACTGCCTAATTGAATATGTAATTTTTTATGGAGCTTTTCAATCTTTACGCTTTTTTGGGCAAGGTCAGAGCTACTGTTGCGAATGGACATGCCCTGAAAATGACGCACACGTTGCCGCCTTCAACTGTAGGAGGCTAAGAGAAATATATATTGCATTTCAAATTGAACTCTATTAATTAGTTTGTGATTAATTTACTTTAATGATGTAGCTTTGTGTTTATTCTGAGTATTATTTACTGCATTTTTGCCCATTGAGTCATGCTTCAAATGTGCTCGCGTCTTTTGCTGCCGCCTGAAAGTATGCTGCATCCAAATTGAATTACACAGTTGACTTTGACAGGCTGCAAGCACTTTTGAATGCGCTACACAGCAAACTTAGCAGCTGGATACATGCAAATATTATACTGTTAAGCTAACTGTAAATGTTTACACATCAAAAAAAGTTTTCTTATTAAGCTAATATATATATTTTATTTAGGTTTTAAATTCGTTTTGCTGCGCATGCCTGATTTGTGAACTTTCCAACACTTGCTCAACTTTGAAATGTAATTCATCAGGTTTAGTAAAAATCAATAGAAACATAAATAGAAATTTGTCAATATACATATTTTCTATTTATATTTATATATATTTTATTTAAGTTTAGGTCTTAAATTCGTTTTGCTGCTCATGTTTTTTTTTGTGTTTTTCAACACTGAACTTTTTTAAGTGTAACCATTAAACTTGACTTTAGCTGTAGTTTAGGTGTAGTAAAATTTAATAGGAAATTTGACAATAATTATATTATTATAATATATAATTTATTATTTTCCAAAAGCTGGAAATATATATCTCAGCTGCAAGCACAGATTACAATTTGAAGACCTTTATTTATATCTTATATCTTTATTACGTATACAAATATGTATCTATGGGTTGGTTATGCATATTTTTAGAGCTGTTTCTAGTTTTGCAATATTTATGTTCAAGTTGGGAAAATACATGAGATGCCGAGTCTCTCTAGAAACAATACGCAGTCAGAGATAAAAATGTGGTGCACACAAAGCTAATGCAAAAATGCAGAAAACAAAACAAAATACATATAATAACAAGTAAGAGGTTCTAGTCGGCAGCTCCCGACTAGGGAATACCCTGAACCCTCTTCTTCCAACATCAAATGCATATATATATTCTATTTTAGAAGCTATATGTCATGTTTGGTGACTCTAGCTTTTATTATTTACCAAAGCTGCCCAAGAAACAGGATATCGATATAGATTTTTATCGATTACTTGGAAACGGAGTAAGTTATCGATTATCGGAAACAAACTCGATCTGCGCAGGCACTAGGAGCATCTACATCATCTGCATTATCCTTGCGTTCATACATACGGACGGACAGACGGACGGAGAGACGGACGGACGGATAGACGGACAGACGGACATGGCTAGATTGACTCAGCTATTGATGCTGATCAAATATATATAAGCTTTATGGGGTCGGAGATGCTTCCTTCTGCCTGTTGCATACATTTGGATTTTGCACAAATACAATATACCCTATGGGTATAAACCCATTTTTAATGGGTTCAGGGTATAAAAACACAAAACGAAAAGAAACGCAACATAATAGAAATCAAGAATAGCTTGGAAACTAACATACCATTTGAACCGGGGCCGAAGCTGAAGCCTCCGGCGCGCACTCGATATCAATATTAATGGATATTATTGGTCATAAAGCTGAAATGGAGGCAATTGACATTTGGACGCAGCTGCTAATTGATTAAAGCTGCAACCGATATGATCTCTCCGAGATCTGTGCGTATATAACATGTATCCGGCTCCGCTCACTTCAACTTCATCTGCATCTTCATCTGCATCTGCATCTGCAGGTTGGTAAAGGTTAATGTGTCGCACCTGAGTTATGCACTCGTTGGCATTGTAAACTCAAAACAAAACTCATTAATGTGTTTCCATTTTCTATCTCAATCGTAACGGAGAGCCAGACTAGTTTTGAAATCGTCTTAGAATCAATTTATAGATACGTCTTGGAGCTGCAGCCCGAGTCTGTCTTTTAGTTGATTTTTGTTGATTTTTTCTCTTTTTTTTTGTTGCTTTTTAAACTGGGCGTGTTGCGCTTAACGCCCATTTTGCGCCAAGGCAAATGCCAACACCGAATCAGAGCGAAGTATGTTGCGAAGACACGACTGCGAGATGCCTTGTAGATAGTTGACAGCTAGAAAAGATTGAATAATTTGATTAGAATAAGTATTTAAAGTATTTAAGGAAATTGAATTTATATTCAATTATTCCTATGAGGAGCCGGGCTCTTATACGATAAGTTTTATTAAGAAAATATTAGGAAAAGTGATCTCAAATCAATCGCAAATCTGATCAAAAACTTAATTTTCACAGACTTATTTTCTTTCTGCTTATAGCCTACTTCTGAAGAGGGTTATTTATTCTATATGCAATTCAATGGCAACTAGCTCATGCACTACTTAATATACCCTATGGACTTTTCGCATGAAGGGTATTCAGCATCGTCTTGGGGAGACTTGCCACCGCGGCAGTAACAGCCTCGTTGCCATTGTTAGATTGCGAAATTGCCAAAAATGATTATTAAATTCTTGTGGCATAAATGTTAGTCGCTTCTCAGTGCCCGTGTCCGTGTCCGCGCCCTCGCCCTCGCCCGTGCCCTAGCCCCTGCCCACCCACTGTAACAACTGGCAACTGGCAACTGGCAACTGGCAACGGGCTCAAATTCAAATGTGGCCGAAAAACTGTGGCGGAAAGTAAGAGAACCGGCAAATATGGCAATGGAGCGGCAATGGAATTTGCATGGTAGTCAAGTGGAAAAGATTTTTGCCAGCTATTTTCTAAGCCAGTCAGCCGTTACACATGCAGCACCTTTCGCTTTCGGGGCATGGCCCCACAACGCCCACTCAGCGACATGTTTGTACAAGCAATTTGACAAATTTTATTAGCTGCTGCTGCACCTAACAGATACAAGATACAATCTACAAGATACATGCACCCACGTCAGCCAGCACGCATCTAGCTGATGTGTCACAGTTAACACGCAGACAATGGCCAACAGCTGAAAATGTTGCAGTCGGGTGCAAACGACTGCCCAATACTCGTCCACAGTACAGCTTTAAATATGCTTACTGCCAGATTTATAATAGAAATATTATATAAATATAACTTGAATTGATGATCAATAAGAAAACAACTGGTTTAATCTTCCGTTTTGAAGTCTGAAGTCGTCTCGCGCCATCTTCCTTAAATAATGTGTGACCAGCTTGACTTGATTAGCAAATGCTTATGTCGAGCATATATTAACAGCTTTCCAACACTAGTTCTACTCTGGCGCTTGGCTGTTAACGCTTATGTTAATGTTAACAGTTTACATTAACATTGACGTTTAACACGAACTGAAAGGCAATAATAGGAAATAATAATAGAAGCCAATATACTCTTTTGCATGCTGTGAACGTGTATAATCGAATAGTTACATAAGTTGGCTAGCTCAGAACTTAAAAGGCACTTTAAATTGCAAATGTGCAGCAGTTCAACGACTCGCTGCGACTCGTCTCGCAACTTTCTATTGACCCAGCCTAATCAGAGAAATGCTATAAAAACGCTGAGAACTGTTTGTGCGCGCCCAGTATTAGCATAAATTCGCAAGAGCTGCCATAAAACATGTTTCGATTGGTAAGCCACAAACAACAGCGATAAATGTTCAAAAATCTCCATTGATAAACCCCTCTCCCCGTCCCCCTTCCTTGACAGTGCTTACTTTGGGTGCTGTGCTGCGTCGTCAGCTGGAGCGCACCAGCACCAGCGAGCGGCAGCGGGAGCGGCATTGAGGGGCAGCAGTTGGTGCCGATCATCAAGTCGCTGGCGGAGCAAAAAAACGATGGCTCCTATTTCTTTGCCTACGAAGGCGCCGATGGCAGCTACCGTGAGGAGGTGGGCATCGTGAGGCGCTCTGGTAAACATAATGATGATGTTGTTGATGATGATGACGATTATGATGATGCGGAGCTGGAAATCTCTGGCGTTTATCGCTATATCGACAGCCAGGGCGAGCGTGTGGAGGTCAGCTATACGGCCGACAAGAATGGCTTTGTGCCGCTGGGCACGAACATACCCAAGGAAATAACAGAGACGGCGCGTAATGCGGTCCAGTCGCTGGAGGTGCGAGCGGGCAAGAAGAGTTAAGAGTTAAGGTTATGGCTGAGGCAATTGCACAGCTATAAACTGTTATATGTTGCAGTTGCGAGTGACAAAATGAGTTGAAAATCTACCAAATTTTATAAAAACATTACCATTTTTATATAACTTTAAGAATAAAGTTTTTTTTACCAAAAAGGTCCCCAGTTCCCCTTTTGGTACATTTTTATAGCTGCAGCATTTCGAATTGCTATAAACTGTTATACATTATTAGCTGGCTTGATTGGCGCACTTTGGGTAAATGTTATTTAAACAATTATCGAAAGAAAAAAAAAACGAGCCATAAACCAAACTATGCTAACCTGGCCAATAAATTCAAATCAGAAATCCCAGCCAGGCAGCCAGCTCAGCGACCAGCTATGCGAATGAGGAGCGCCCGCCATGTGGCTGCGACTGGCCAGCAAACATCTACAACGGCTTACAACACCTCCCGCAATAGCAGCGACAGCTACCAACACTGGCCGTAAAACAGCTCATCGTGCACACATTTAATTTGACGACGTGCATCGCCAGCTTCTCTGTTGTTTTTGTTGTTTCATTTGTTTTTTTTTTTTCTTTTTTATGGCTGTCAGAAATATAAATTGTTGCAATTTTTATTGGCAGCACAATTTTCAGCGCTTTAACATGGTAATTTTTTTGGGCTCGAACTGGGGCCCAGTGGCCGCCGGGCATTCGTCTGGGTTTGCCCTTTGCCAAATGTCGTCAGAGTTAACGCCAAAATAAATGAACTTTAATTAAAATTGCTGTTTATTTTATTTTTGTTCTGCTGTTAACAATTGTTCATTAATTATTCTATGACTCTTCTCGACCTTTTGCGAAATGCTCGGCTCACTTTATATTGATAGCTTTTCAATATTTATTGTTAATTCAATTGAATATTTCAATAACCAAGCGATGAAGTGATAAAAACCATTGGAAATTGTTTATGCAGCTCATTAGAATTTTAATTTGAAACATTTATCAAGTTTCGAGCTGTAATTGCGTCGAAGATAAATACCTAAGATATAAGGCAAGCCTTTGATAGAAAAGTATCGAAAGGGAGAGTGGAAAAGACTAAAAATATGCTGTCTCTTTGGGAGGAATAAGTAGAGATCCTATGTATCACTAGGGTTTTGTATTTAACATTAACATTAACTATTCTACTTCGCTTGAGAATAATCAAAAGTCAATTCAAATGGGATTATGCAAACCTAAATCTAAGCCGAATCATATATTTGGTATGAAAAGAATCAAAGTTACAAAAGAAACCACTGACTTTTGTTGTGTCTGATCTGAAACATATTCAAATACCAAGCACACCTTCAAAATTGGGCTGAAACAGAAAAGTGGGTGCTGACAATGCTATGGAAATGCCCAGAGCACTTTGCAAATGTTGTTGTTGTTGCTGTTGTTGGTGAACTCGGGCTACTCCTCTGCTCAGTTGTCATTGTTTCGCATCTTACACGAATCACATTCAGATGGAGATACTTACTAATAAATTACGAGAAGAATTACACAAAGCGCTGACATTTTACATGCTAAATGAAAACATTTGTGGGCTTGGTGGATGCCAATGCTGAGAGGCAATTAATCGCAACACCTTGAGTGGGTGAAGCAGCCAGCAATAATACTGGCTGGCAACTGGCAATGGTAATGGCAGTCGGAGAGCCTGCTAATGGATGCACTGATTGACGCCATCAATTCAAAAGATGTACCAGGTAGAGCTTGAGATACAGATACAGATACAGGTGAAAATATAGATACAGGTACAGATTTAGATATAGATAATCATACAGATACAGATACAGATACCGATACAGATACAGATACAGATACAGATAGATACAGATACAGATACAGATACAGATACAGATACAGATACAGATACAGATACAGATACAGATACAGATACAGATACAGATACAGATACAGATACGATACAGATACAGATACAGATACAGATACAGATACAGATACAGATACAGATACAGATACAGATACAGATTCAGATACAGATACAGATACAGATACAGATACAGATACAGATACAGATACAGATACAGATACAGATACAGATACAGATACAGATACAGATACAGATACAGATACAGATACAGATACAGATACAGATACAGATACAGATACAGATACAGATACAGATACAGATACAGATACAGATACAGATACAGATACAGATACAGATACAGATACAGATACAGATACAGATACAGATACAGATACAGATACAGATACAGATACAGATACAGATACAGATACAGATACAGATACAGATACAGATACAGATACAGATACAGATACAGATACAGATACAGATACAGATACAGATACAGATACAGATACAGATACAGATACAGATACAAATATGCAGATACAAAAATAGAAACGTTAGCGCCACATTCGCGTGTGAGGATGAGTGCGGAAGTTAACGCTGCAGCGTCTCTGGAATAACTGAGTGGAATACCTTATCGACCGACTGACTGACTGACTGACTGACTGACTGATTGATTGACTGACTGACTGACTGGCGCAGTGGTTGACACATTTCTGGCGACCCTGACATTTAGCGTAAAGTAATTTGAGCATCGTTTAAAGTTTTGGCCCGTAGCGCGTAGCCGCTGCCATAAACCGGGATGCAAACATGTTTGGCATGTTTAAGCGCATGGAGGGGCGTTGAATTATTTGATCGCAATGCCGGCCGCATATAAAAGCCAACCGGCAGAGTGCGACACACTCAAACTCTCGCTTTCAGTGCTCCAGTTCAAGTAGAAATCTCATAGAATGTTCAAGTTCGTAAGTGGCTGCCGAAAACCCAACCAAAACGGAGGAGATTTCTTTAAATTTGGATCTTTTACAGCTGCCGTTGCTCGTGCTGGGTTTCCTCGCCTCCGGCTATGCGCTGCCCGTTGCCGAAGAGAAGGAGTTTGTGGCCATTTTGAAATCGGAGGTGAACAAGAACGAGGATGGCTCATACCAGGTCAACTACGAGGGCGCCGATGGCACCGAGCGCAAGGAGGAGGCCAGCGTTGTGGATGCCGGCACCGAGAACGAAACGCTGGAAGTGAAAGGTTCCTACAAGTACATCAACGATAAGGGCGAAACGGTTGAGGTATTCTACACGGCCGGCGTCAATGGATTTGTGCCATACGGCACCATAATCAATCCGGAGATCACCTCAGTCGCCGAGGCAGCCAAGGATTTGCCCAACACTCAAGAAGACGAAGTGAAGTCGTAAATAACATAAGAAATAGAAAATAGTTGTATCTGAAGTGCCAGCGAGATGTGAATAAAAGACGAGTGGAAGAAACCAAAAGAGTTGCCCAACAAAAGAAATACTTTTCTTAAAACCCTCAAATCTTAACCTCAAACAATCAGACAGTTGCGTCTGCTGCTTTGCATAATCACACACTCTCGCTCCTTCTCCGTCTCTCTCTCTTCCTCCCGCTCCCGCTCTGAAAATTAACAGAGATTATTGCTCGCAGGCAAATTAGAAATTCCCGCCTCCGAAGACCTTGAAAAACCACAAAACTTGGTCGTGCGCAGATCCCCCTGTCCGAATTTAACAAACGGTAATGACTACTTGTTTGGCTACTTTGCTTAGTACAGTAAAGCCTGGCATATAACAACTTATTTTATTTGCAAGCAATACGTTGAGAAAGTAAAACTCGATCTGACAGACTTTCTTCCTATAATGTATAGCTCTTTGGCATCACAGGGTGTTTCCTTAGGAGTTATTTTGTTTTTGTAATGTGGCAACACTCGCAATGCTTCGGTTGCATATATGGTACAGTTGGTCACACTTTTTCAAAGAGTTGTATAATTGTACAGTAATGCGTGCAATGGATGGTTACTTAAGACAATTGATTTGAGAACGCAGCCATTAAACAGTCTAGCATTAATAAATACTTCAGATTTGACTTGATTTATTGCTATAATCATTTTATTCAGAATGGTTTGTACAGTAGAGCCTGGCTCCCACTGACAAGCATCACTAATCAATAGCTAACTTCCCACATGATTTATTACATTAGTCTCATCCATTTGAAGTCGAATGACTTATTAACATGCAACATAATCAAAATGACAAATGCTTTCAATAATTATGCAAATTTTGTTTATCAAAAGAACAACTTTTTTTCGGCTGTCAATTAACATAAGAGAAGCTCTCTCGCGTTTTTCAACTGTTAACAATATGAATTAAGCATGGTAAAAACATAAAATAACTTCTTTGATTGCGAGCCAAACAATTAAAACTCTTGATTTATACGCTGGCCATACTCTGTAATGCCAAAGGGGCGAGTCTTTATGGCCAGCACCCAAGGGAAAGAGGTGGTGCTTTTTTTGCTTATGTTTTTCATAGGTAGAAGACAGCATATCCAGCATTACGTAAATGCGTCTGGCTTTAAATGATCTAGTCGTATCTGTGTGAACTTATCTTTTTGATAGCTCGGGAATTATTAGAACTAGAGAGACCAAACTTACTATGCACGTTCTCGTACAGATTAATAATATTTCTCTTATTGGAAACCTTTGCCCGCCCTGCTAAGAATTAAGAAAGCTTCCCTTAGAGAGCAGATTCTTGCGTTATATAGGATCAGACTATCAGACTATATAAAGGACTTAATCAAGAATCAATATCCCCTCCCTCTCGCATAGCCTATACAGATTAATAATATTTCACTTTTTTGAAACATTTGACCGCCCTTTCAGGAATTAAGGAATCTTCCATTTACAGGCAGATTCTTGCGCTATATAGGATCCGACTATCAAGGAGTTAATCAAGAATCAGTATCCCATAAAGTATAGGCTATATGGAGCTCAACCTGAACCTTCTATGCATATCATTTGACGTATAAAAGGGAGTATCTGCTAGTCGTGTACGCCCGACTAGGCGCACTTAATTATTATTATCAGCAAAGTTAAGATCATGTTTTGATGTTTCATCATCATCATCGAAGCATCGAAGCATCTCAGTGGCCCCATAAAGTTTATGACATCATTATTTGGCAATTAGCATGGTATTTGCCAACTGATATTTTCGGCTTCTCGATTTTGGGCTATATCATGGGCTATAGATAGACATGGTTGGCAGATGGACATGTTGGCAATTGTAAGCTTTTGAATTTGAGTTTTTTCTTTCAATTTTTTATTGCTAACCACATTACAAATACACAAATTTAATAATACTAAGCGCTACAGCTGGGAATAAGTCTCAATTAGGCGGTCTTTGACGCGACTTTGTCGGTTTTTTCCACCGCGGCGGCGACGGGTTTCTGCTCCACCTGCACCACCTGCACAGGCACCACCTCAGCTGCGGCTGCCTTGGGCTCAGCCGGCTTGGTCTGCTCCACTGGCTCCGCGGTCTGCTCAGTCTTGGAGCGTGCACGACGCTGGCTGAGACGCTGCTCGCGCTCCTGCTCCTCGCTGTATTGGGGCAGATCGGCGGCCGCCTTGGCCAGGGCGGTTATCTCGCTCAGAATGTGGGTGCCGGTGGGCACAAAGCCATTCTTGCCGGCCGTGTAGTGCACCTCCACCAGCTGGCCATCGGCATCGATGTAACGATACGAGCCCGTCACCTCGAGGGCCTCGTCTTCGGTGCCGGCATTCTCGAGGACGCCGCTTTCCTCGCGGAAGGACTTGTCGCCGCCCTCATAGGTGAACTTGAAGGAACCGTTGGGATCCTTCTCGGTCTCGAAGCGCAGCAGCGGCACGATTTCACGCTTCTCGGTGGTCACATCCGTGCTGCCAATGCTGGCTCCACTGACACCGCTGGCCACCACAATCAGGCAGATAAATAGCTTGAACATGTCGCGTCTTGTCTCGAGTCTCAACTTGGCCAGAACTCACAAAGTGCGTTGCTTTTATATCGCGCAGCGGCCACACAAAATTAGCATCCATTACGTTATTTAAAAAACAAAAACTCAAAACAAAAATAAAAAAAACAATAAAGAAATTCTATAGAAACTTAGCCGAATGTGTTTTAATAAAACACTCACAACGCGATTTGCATAACTATTTATGATTCAGTGAATCAGCGCGAGGAACAATGTAAAGCTCGAACCAGCTAAAGAGGCCGAAAATATAAACATCTTTAGGCTTAATTGAAATGGATCTTTAAGATCTGCCAAATTATTAGATCACACTCCAGTTTAGTTCTTTTTAAGAACTATGACGGCTTGCGCAACACTTAATTAACAACTAAGAAAGTTAGTCGCGAGTGCCCGATTAGCATTTACCCGGAAGCCGGATTTAAATTCAAGCCAAAGTATATGTTAAAAGTGCATTTTCTTTCACATATTGAGTGGGAAATGGGGAGAGGCATCCACAATTAGAAGTATTCCTAATCTGTCTATCGAGCTCATATAATTCTCGATTTATGCTCGTATAACTGAGTATCGCATCGATATTTATCGGTTTTATAAGACTTTATCGAAACGACAAACTTGTTCTACTTATCATATACGAGAGTATATATTTCAAATACGTGAACCCGTCTACCAAGATAAGCGTATCGAGCTCTTAGAATTCTCAAGTTATCTTCAAATAACTGAGTATCGCATCGATATTTTTCGGTTTGTTCTACTTATAATATACAAGAGTATATATTTCAAATACGTGAACCTGTCTACCAAGGTCTCTAGCATTCGTAGTTTCCTTTTTGCCAATTGGTTCAGCTTTCAGTATCTCAGACGCGTTTCGCCCTGGCTAAGACGAGCGTCGTCCCAAATGTCAACTTGTCAGTTCTGAAGTCTTCTGAATAACTCTAAGAAACTGCGCTCAATTAGCATATGTGCATATATCATTAGATGCATTAGCTTATGGCCAATGCATTAAATTGGCCAACAAGAGGAGCTGCATAAATTTAGCCACATTTAAAACGCACTTAAGATGCGCTCTGATTGAAACTGTGAATAAAATGAATTACACATGCGATTCATTCATTCATCATTGTGAATGAGACACGAACTGACGGAAACTGAGAAACGTTGAGACGACCACTGAGCACACGGGAATTTTTTCTGGGTGGAGAGCAATAGCCATAAATGAGATATACGAGTGTGAAACAATATTGCAAATACGAGTAGACCCCCAGAGATTGTATGTCAAATGTGAACGAGAAATAACGCTGGCTGCGATATGCCGAAGACTAAATACTCTTCAGTGGCATCTTGTGGATGTAATAAAAATAAATATAAGAAAACAATATACTATTCAATTAGCTAAATGTCAGGTTTGCTGACTCTAGCTCTTATAACTTACGAGATTTGCTCAAAATACGACACTTCGATGTCGATTTTTATCGATTACTTGTGAACGGGTCAATTTATCGCTTATTGGAAACAAACTAGTACTACGTGGACACTAGGAGGACCTTCATTCTAAATTTCAAGTCCTTAGCTCTAATAGTTCTGAGATCCTTGCATTAGTAAAAACGGACGGACGAATAGGCAGACTAACAGACAGACGGACACGGCTAGATCGATTCGGCTGTTCATGCTGAACAAGAATATATATACTTTATGGGGTCGGAGATGCTGCCTTCTGCCTGTTAAATACATTTGCACAAATACAATATACCCCTTTCACCCACTTTTAATGAGTATATTTATATGTATATATACATATTTATTTCTACTCCAAAATTAGATGAGACTGTAAGAAATAGACTGCTTTGCCTTATGCAAGTGTTATGTTGTATTAGAAAATGGGTATACCCTAATGCAGGGTATGCAGATGCACCTAAGCAGCGATAGATATGGACTAACACGAAGGCCAGCAAAACGCGGGCAAATCGCAGCACACAGAAAATGTGCACAAAAGACCAAAAGGAAAAGCCACAGCAAACAGCAAAAAGGGTGAGCTGAGCTGGACGCAGCGGCGGGGCAGGGTGCAGGGCGGCGCCAGAGGTGGAGCTCAAGCTGGAGCCAGAGAAGGCGTCTTCGCTGTTGTTGTTGTTGTTGTTGTTGTTGGAGGCGCGTTAATCTCGCGCGATGTTCATCATGGCATGTTCGTGATCAGAGCGCAGTCTTTGTTGTTGTTGCTGTTGCTGTGGCCGCAGCTCTTGCTGCAATTTTTATGAATTGCAACTGACATTTCCTACACGCTGCCGCCGCCGCCGTCTGTAAAAGTTTAAAGTTTAAGCCGAAAATTGCAATTTTTATGCGCCGGCCGGCTTAGCTTAAGCCAGAAGAAACGCCCCCGCCCCCCGACCAGTCCGCATGCATATCATTTGGTTCACCTTTTAGCTGGGAACTGGTGCAGGGGAGTGGCGCATCTGGTCAGCAATTGGGCAACTGCCAAGCGTTTCAAATGTCTAAATTGTGATTAGCACAGCAGCAGCAGCAGCAGCTGCTGGAGATGCTGCCCCAAACAATGGCACACAAAATGTTGCCTTAATGTTGCATTCATTTGTGGTCCACAAACAAGTGGGCAAACATTTGGCAAACATTTGGCAAACATTTGGCAAACATTGCGCCAATCCCCGCCCCGCGGCACTGCAAATGTCAATAAACAAGCTGGCAAAATAATCAAAATAGAAATAAAGAAAAACTATGAAATAAATGGGCAATTCATCAATTGCAACATGTCTGGTATTAATCTTTTAATTAATATTTGCATTAACAAATTATTGCATATTGCGGCGCATCGCAAATTGAATCAGATACATACACACACAAGCACACACACACACAGACGCCAGCGTGGGCTAATCAAATGAACTTCGCATTGCTAATTCACATAAATTAATGCCTAGACAAGCTGGCGTGCCTCACACACACACACGCACACACAAGCACACACACACACACAGGCGCAGAATGAGTCTAAGTAGCTGTCGGTTTAACTCATAAAACATACACAAACACACACGCACACTCACACACATATGCCTGTCTTTTATGTGGTTATACACGGCGTATGCGCAACGCCCATTTGCATTCTGGAAACTCGTTGCGCATACGCCGCGTGGTACAGCGTGGCGGCAGCCTCTTCCGATTCTGTTGCTGCCGCCGTCGCTGCTGCTGCCACTGTCAAATATACAAACAACTTCTTGCTCTTCTACCTGGCCATCGTTTGCTTCTCGCTCTTCTTCTTGGCAATCCAATTGTTGCTGCACTGCTCTCATTGCGGATGCTGCCGCTGCTGCTGCTGCTGCTGCAGTTGCTGTTGCTGCGGCTCAGTGAATGCATTTTTGGTATAAAAACGTTTGCGCCGACTGCATTCAAGTCAAAACCGTTTTGACGAGCCCTCCAAGCGCAGGCAAACGCTCTACTCCAAAACAAGCCGCGATTCTCAAAGTGAGTTCTTAAATGTTTGTGCTGTGCTCAGTTGGTGTTTTGTGCGAAAGGATCAAAAGGATCGTTGAACAAATAAAAGAGACATCACGTTTGAAGAGACAAGCCAAGTCAAACCATTTTTTAATTCAAAAGGATCGTTGAACAAATAAAAGAGGCATAATATTTTAAGAAAAAACAAACAAAGTCAAGCCATAAGCCATTTTAAAGGATATTTCAAAAGATAATGCTACGAATTCTCAACTAGTGTATGACCGCAAAAATGGCTAAGCCAAGGCCAAAATCAGGGCTAGTCAAACGAATTATGACACAGTCCGATTGTTCAGTTGAACAACGAGACCAAGAGCTCCAATCCCAAGCTAGTAGCATACACAATTTTGTCAGACTAATAATAGTTAAGAGTCTGCTATTAAATAAAATGCACACATCTGCATATTTTTCATAGCGGCGGCCTTCTTGTTGCCACTTTAAAGATGACTTTCGAAAAATGCAAAGATTAAAGCCAATTATTATTGGCATCAATTACCGAGCACATCGAATGCTGCTTGACATTATCATATCGCAGTTATGTCTCAATTAACCAATCATCTGTTTTGTTTATCGACCCCCACCCTTCCCCGAAAAAGGTCATGCAGTTGCTCACCTCCGCCTACGCTGTCGCCGCCCTTGCGATCTGCTGCCTGTGCCTCGTCTCAGCTCAGCCGCAGCGCGGTCTGGCGCAGCCGCGCTCCAACTCCTTCGATCCTAATGCTGTGATACTGAAGCAGAACTTTGATCTGAACCCGGATGGCTCCTATCAGTACAAGTAAGTTGTGGTTGGAATACATAACTTCATTATTGTGAATGATCTTTGAGAAGTCAGTCATTCAGTTAGTCAGTCTGTCAATCAGGCTGATAGTCAGGACATACAGTCAGTCATTCATTAATGTATCTTTTCCATGAGTCAGTAAAACAATCAATTAGTTAGCCAGCTAGTCAATCACTCAGTCAATCAATCAATCGCTCAGTCAGTCACTTTTCCGGACATTCAAGCAGCGAGTTGTTCAATCAGTCATGCATTTCATCAGGCAGTCATACGTTCTATCAGTCACCAAATTGGTCGGACATTCAATCAGCCAGTCTTTCAATCAATCAGCCAATCATTCAGTCCGACATTCAGTCAATATGATGGTAATTTATTCAGTCGGTCAATCACTTAGTCGCTTATTCAGTCAGTCAGTTATCCAGTCAATCAAATAGTTAATTCAGTTATTCAATCAGTCAGTCTGTTCATTAGTGGAACAATCAATGTGCCATTCGGCCATGCACTCCATTAGCCATTCAGTCGTTTTATATATATTTGGATAGCTGATTGCATTATTTTTTAAATTCTTTTATATTTTTCAATTTATATATTCAAAATTATTTATCTTGCATAGCTACGAGACGAGCAATGGAATTCGCGCTGATGAGGCGGGTTACCTCAAGAATCCCGGCTCCCAGTTGGAGGCTCAGGTGGGTTTCGGTTGCACAGTTTCAGGCGCAGCTGCAAAAGCAGCGAGAACTCGTGTGGCCTGTTTTTAGGAGAGCTAAAATAATAGAATTGATGTTTGCAGGTAATGCAAGGCTCCTACTCGTACACCGGACCCGATGGCGTGCTCTACACGATTACCTACATCGCCGATGAAAATGGCTTCCGCGCCGAGGGCGCACATATTCCCACACCGCCGCCCGTGAGCCCGGCCGCTGCTGCCGGTCCCCGCCGATTCTTCAAATAATTGATAATTGACCAGCGAGAATTATATTTAATTGGATATAATATTTGTATGATAGCATCCAGGATGAAGTTCAGGGCAGCAGCTCAGTTGATTCACAGACCTCTGTCTCTCCCTCTCTCCCTCTCCCGCTTCCCCGAACACTCACACACAACAATCCTTCATTTTTCCACTCTCACAGCATTCCGTGTGTATTTATGCATTTTCACGCGTTCTCTAATTTACCCCGATTTTCACATCTACCTAGCGCCTAACGAATCGTTTAAAATATGTTTTGTACATTATTTAAGTTTGATTGTTAAATGTCGTACGACAACGCAAGCTACGCAATAAAACGAATATTGCTCGAAACGTTTTTAATTTCTTGCTTTTTTGTCGTTACTTATCTATCTTTATGAGGTTATTCTTTATTGTAGCGTTGCCAGACTGCTATACCTATATCAAAAATGGGTAAAAGGGTTATAACGGGTTTGAGCAAATGTATGTAACAGGCCGAAGGAAGCATCTCCGACCCCATAAAGAATATATTTTCTTCATAAGCATCAATAGCCGAGTCGATCTAGCCATGTCCGTATGTCTATCTGTCCGTTTGTATGAACGCAAGGATCTCAGAACCTATTAGAGCTAGAATGTGTTTTCGATAATCGATATCTTAAACCATTTCCAAGTAATCGATTAAAATCGATATCGAAATCCTGCTTTTTGATCAAATCTCGTAAGTAATAAGAGCTAGAGTCATCAAACCTGACATTTAGCTTATTAATAGTATATTATAATTTTCATTTATTTTTATTACTGCTGATGCAAATGAGCGCGTGGCGTGAGCTGCATTTGGGGTTTGGTGGTAGAACAAGGTTCAGGCAAAGACAATATAAACATATTATATTGTCTTTGGTTCAGGGTATCCCGACTAGAGCCTCTTACTGCTTAAGGTAATGCTTCATAGTAGCGTTGCCAGACTGTTTTTTGTTGTTTGGTATTTTTGCAGTATCTTATATTTGTTCGGGTAAAATTGATCATTCAGTGCCCTTAGAAATGGATTTCAGCAATGCGAAATAGGACATGGCCGTTCGCACAATCTGTTAGGCACATGCAAAATTCAGCTCCAGACTCTCAATCGTTGCGCCCAACCACTCACCGAGATAAAGACCTCCATATTGGCCTCAAAGAAGAAGCCATCGATGCGACTGCCGCGCTGCGCCCGCATCATCGAGAATTGCAGCGAACGACCCAGGGCCGGATCAAGGGCTGCCTCATGCCAGGGGCTGTCGTAGATGGCATTGGCAAAGCCCGTGCTCGCCGTCTTCAGGCGATCGCCGCAATAACAGTAGACATAAAGCTGAGAGAGCACGGATACGGTAAATACCACATAGAAGGGCATCTGGGCATTGTCGAACTTAACCAACAGCGTATAGCTGAGCACGCACAAATGCAGGGAGCCCACCACGAACTGCACGCAGATGAGCAGACGAAAGCAACGGTTCAGTGCCGCGCTGAGGTCCAGGATGCGTCTGTGCAGATCAAGGATCTTGCCCAGCTGTGCCTGGCTGCCCGCAGTAGCTCGAAAGAGCTGCATCTTATGCTGCGACGTCTGAAATAGGGCGACAAGATTATGAATAAGGGCCATGAAAAATGTATCTACACAAATGCTGGGCAGGACGACGGCAAAGCTAGCGGACGCAATCAGGGCGTAGGAGAGCAGCGCATAAGGCAGCTGTTGATTATCCCAGGGGTAGCTGCACGGAAAGGTCATCTCCAGCCGTAGCTGACCCGTGCGCCAATAGTTGAGGCACATGCTCACGCTGGGCTTCAAGGAGCTCAGAATGGCCGCCAGCATAAAGCAGTTCTTGTAGATGCCGCTGAGCCGCTGCTCCCGCCGATTCTCCTCGCCGATGATGCAGGCAGGCACTTCAAAGGACACAAACTTGTACAGGCACTAAGAATCGAGTGAATTTACCCAGCTGGTACCTCCGGTCAGCAGCTCTCGCAGCCTGGCCACGAGCCGCTGAAAGTCCTTGTGCAGCCACATCATGAGGCCGAACTTGAATAGGCCCAGCTGATTGATGAGCAGCGCGGCCAAGCCCTCTGTCAGCTGATCCATATTCTCCAGATTCTGTATGCTGAAGGCAATAACCATCGCTTGGACCATTGCCAAGGAGAGCATTAGGCCCAAGGCTCGCCAATGTTGCCGCCAGCCCGACAACTCTGGTCTAGCAAGTATATTAAATCCAAGAATGCGAAAGTAAGTGTCCTGCACCTTGAGCAGCTCCCCATTGATAGTCTGCATTATTCAAGTACTGAAGGTCCTTGCCGCACTCAGCTTTTATACCAGACTACAAAAGCTGCACAGTGGTTCACAGCGAGTGTTTACATGGCGAAAAATCGACTACTTAAAGGTAAGAGCTGGTTGGTTATGTATGACTGTTAGTCTGAGATACGAGTTCTTGTATGGCAATAAGTATATATCTTTATCTTTATATGTATATCTTTTTATGAGAATATATCTTCATAAGTATATATCTTTATAAATATATATCCTTACAAGTATATCTCTTTATAACAAAATATCTTTATTAGTATATATATTAATAAATATATATCTTTTTAGGTATCTTTTTGAGTATATATCTTTATATATATATATATTCACAGGTTTTAATTTTTTGCACTCTAAAGACCATATTTCATTCTGGTTAAAACCTGTTTTTTTTTTGCCTCATTGTGAGTTCTTCTGATCCAGTGTCCAGTCTGATTTTAATGCGTTAATAATTAGAGCTAAAATTGCCGTGCAATTATTTTAATTAGCTCGATTAAGCTATAGGCATTAAAAGTAGATACAGCTTAGACATGTCCGAGCCGGGAAGGTGTTCAACAAATTCAGTTTTAGTGCAAGCTGGGAACAGGTTAGAAGCAACTGCTCTTAGGAATTTAAATTGAATATTCTTTATGTTTTTGAAAATGTTCTTTATTTACACACACAAAACAAACATCAAAAGGTGTCTTGACGCAGTGGCTCCTTGAAAGGTGATCGATGCTTGGCCTGGTAGGGTTTAACGTCCCCAGCCCCAGCCGCCGCCACCCCAGCCGCGATTCCAGCCGCCGCCCCAGCCATGACCCCAGCCGCCGCCTCCCCAACCGCCGCCTCCCCAGCCGCCGGGTCCGCCCCAGCCGCCACCGCCCCAGCCGCCGCCGCCCCAGTGCCGCGCCTCTCGATTGCCCTCATTGGCATGGGCGTTTCCTTGATCAGCAACCTGCAACAGATCAATGTGCTCCTCCTTCTTGTCATCCAATTGCTGGGCCAAGCTCAAGGCTATGCAGACAGCTCCAATGAGCGCCAGAAGTGTTAGACGCATCTTGCTATTGTTTCTTCTCCTTGGGTATTTTTTGGATTAAATATCGTTTGTTTGCCTTTGATGCTTTCGGTTCAACTGATGCTGGAAGGCACAATTCAGCGGCCTTTTATTTGCCCGCCAGCCGTCAAAAATTCATCCAGTTGTCGTTCCTGTTCCCTGCCGCATCTCCTAAGCCCAAATGCATTTCGCATACTTAGCACTTAAAGTTACGTATAGATTATCTGTGTGTCTTTGTTATGATTCTTATACCCTGAACGAGTGTGTAAATAGGGTATGATGGTTTTGTGCAAGCGTATGTAACGGACCGAAGACAGTAGGAGAATGTAGGAGAATGTGTTCTCTAAGAATAATTCACTTTTGGGACACCTCCTCCAAAATGTAAAGCAACAAATTTGCTAATGAAAATCCTTGCGCTTTGGTTATCCTTAAAAACCTCATGAAGATCGGACAATGGGTACCGAAGACTTTAAAGAGCACACTTCCAGCACAGCAGCTCATCCCTGGGCTTAGGGTAACTTCTAGTTGTGCACACCCAACAAGAGCACTTTTACTTATTGTTTTTTACGATTCTAAGTCAGGTTGTATTAACTTTCTTAATATTTGTTTATTTGATTGTCATACTTCGTTGACTATTACACCTGCTTTTGCTGCATTTGCTTTTGTTGTTATTGTTATTCCATTTGTTTATCACAAAAGTTGCCCCTACCAAATGTACATCCCATAATAAAGGCGCAAGTGGACCACATTAACTGGCAATTTATTAGATCTGGTAGCTGACCAGTGGGTGTGCGTATGTGTGTGTGTGTTCGTGTGTGAGGGGAATGTATATCGAGTAAATAAATTGCATGGCCAACAATGAGACGAATGTATTCGTAAATCAAGTTTAGGCAATGTATTCGACATGGCTTTGTTAAGTATTGTTTATATAGAAAGCGAATAACAGTTAAAAATGATTGCTTAATCACAAGCAATTAAAACAATTTAACTAACAGATACCCTATATAATTCGTATAACTAAGACAGATGCACCTTAAATTTATACATTGTGCGGAGATCGTAAAAAACTCAAAGATCAGCCGATTGTTATATATATAAATATATATATATATATATCATATATATTATATAGTATTTATAAGGCTTTGTGTGTATATCTAAACACAAGCCCCTCCTCAGGCATGCAGAAATTAATAACCATAATGCAGCGTTGCCAGACTTTTGTTAAGTACATAGCAAAAAAGCAAACATGAATGTTAAAATAGCCAGTAACTTTTATATACCAACGATGCTCCCTTTAATCAAATGACTTGGCAAAATAAGTAAATATGAGACCGGATTATGCCATTATTATTAAATATTGTTAATATATACAAGTATATAATGTAGCTCAAATTGTCTTCCAATCAATCTAATTTTCTACTTCTGAAAAAAGCTTAAAAAAATTGGATTTTTTTTTTTCTTATTATAGTTTATTCACCCAACGAATCGCTGTAGAATCTTTGACGCTTTCGATTTAAAACAAATGAGTTAAAAATTGTTTTTTGTAATGTTCTTTATTTACAAACACAAAATGAACAAAGTTTTCGCTGTGTTAGGACGCCTGTGGAGCGCTGGCAGTTGTGGATAGCTTCTGAAGGACTTATTGTCTCCAGCCGCCGCCCCAGCCGCTGCGGCCCCAGCCACCGCCGCCCCAGCCGCTGCGGCCCCAGCCGCCGCCACCCCAGCCGCCGCGTCCCCAGCCGCCGCGTCCACCCCAGCCGCCGCCCCATTGACGGGCCTCTCGATTGCCCTCATTGGCATGGGCGTTTCCTTGATCAGCAACCTGCAACAGATCAATGTGCTCCTCCTTCTTGTCATCCAATTGCTGGGCCAAGCTCAAGGCTATGCAGACAGCTCCAATGAGCGCTAGAAGTGTTAGACGCATCTTGCTATTGTTTCTTCTCCTTGGGTATTTTTTGGATTAAATATCGTTTGTTTGCCTTTGATGCTTTCGGTTCAACTGATGCTGGAAGGCACAATTCAGCGGCCTTTTATTTGCCATCCAAGCCTGGAAATAACCGGCTGAGTTGTCGTTCCTGTTCTCGTACGCATCACCTAATTTTAAGTGTCATATAGTACTCCAAGCCACATTAGAAGGGGTTTTTTTTTTTTTTAATTTTTTTGTAGCCAGGCATTGTTACTTTCGCGATGTTTGTGTATTTATTTATCGCCATAAGATTATTACACCTGTTCTGGCTGCAGTTGTTGTTGTTTTCTTCTGAAACTTAGCAGCTAAACGATCCATCAAGAAACACAGACAATGTGGAGCATATTTAAATTAATTAAGCCAAAGCAATTAGCGGCTGTAATCACTTTGAGCAGTGCTGTAAAGTGATGCGAAGGCACGAAGCAACTACGCTGTTCGAAGCAGTGTTGTAAAATGTTGTAGGCAATGCGGAGCATATTTGAATTAATTAAACCAAAGCAATTGCCAGAGTGTGCAGGCACTGTAATTACTTTGTGCAGTGTTGTAAAGTGATGCGAAGACACATAGCAAGTACACTGTTTGAAGCAGTGCTGTGAAATGATTTGAGAGTAGGTAGTTAGTACGCTGCTCGAATAATAACTAGCGTGCTGTTCAACAGAGCTAGGCTAAGTACCCAGGCACAAAGCAACTACGTTGTTCGAAGCAATGTTGTAAGACTCAGACTATGTGGAGCATATTTTAATTAATTAAACCAAAGCAATTGCCAGAGTGTGCAGGCACTGTAATTACTATGTGCAGTGTTGTAAAGTGATGCGAAGACACATAGCAAGTACACTGTTTGAAGCAGTGCTGTGAAATGATTTGAGAGTAGGTAGTTAGTACGCTGCTCGAATAATAACTAGCGTGCTGTTCAACAGAGCTAGGCTAAGTATCCATAACTGAATACCTGAGGTCACTTAAGCTCGAGTCGCCAAAAACAAAGACTCAAGTTGTGAGTCGTTTATGACATGCTGTTGCACTTATCAAAACAAATTAGCTGGCACGTAAAAACCAAATTGTGCATAGCATAGTTGATCTTAAAAGCACATACATATATATATATATATAATTGAGCATATTATCATGCAAATTTTTTAAATGAACAATGGAAAGCCGAAACTCGTTTCTTACGCCCGATTTGTCATATGTGTTACACTTGATATAAGCTGTACTTTATTAATTTTGGCAAATGCTAATTAGCAGGTGCTATTCGCAAATGCAAGTTTGCAATAATAGCTGTGCTGCATAACTTAAGATAAGTGTATTAGTTGACCTACGTAAACTGAAATTCACTAAGATTTCGGCCGCAGGTTTTTTTCTTTTTAGTTTGTTTTTGCTGTGACTCACTCACTTATTACGCTACGTAGTACTCAAAACAAAGCTTAAATCCCATTAAGTGACAAGTTTTTGTACATAGTTTAATTATACCCTGAACCCATTAAAAATGGGTATAAGGGTATATTGTATTTGTGCGAAAGCCAAATGTATGTAACAGGCAGAAGGAAGCAACTCCGACCCCATAAAGTATATATATTCTTGATCAGCATAAATAGCTGAGTCGATCTAGCCATGTCCGTCTGTCTGTCCGTCCGTCCGTCCGTCCCTCCGTCCGTCCGTATGTATGAACACCGATTTTTTGGTCGAAATTCATGTCCAAATCTTACCCCAAGATTCGTATATAGACATGGGTCAAAAATTACCACACCCATAACTCGGTCAAATCTCATCCGATTTTCACGAAGTTTGGCTTTTTCTTCATGGTTTTCCCTCTAGATTAATATGGCATTAAAATCTGAACACCGATTTTTTAGTCGAAATTCATGTCCAAATCTCGCCCCAAGATTCGTATATAGACATGGGTCAAACATTATCACACCCATAACTCGGTCAAATCTCATCCGATTTTCACGAAGTTTGGCTTTTTCTTCATGGTTTTTCCTCTAGATTAATGTGGCATTCAAATCTCGACACCGATTTGTTGGTCGAAATTCATGTCCAAATCTCACCCCAAGATTCGCATATAGACATGGGTCAAAATTTACCACCCCCATATCTCGGTCAAATCTCATCCGATTTTCACGAAGTTTGGCTTTTTCTTCATGGTTTTCCCTTTAGACTAATGTGGCATTCAAATCTCGACACCGATTTTTTGGTCGAAATTCATGTCCAAATCTCACCCCAAGATTCGCATAGAGACATGGGTCAAAATTTACCACCCCCATATCTCGGTCAAATCTCATCCGATTTTCACGAAGTTTGGCTTTTTCTTCATGGTTTTCCCTCTAGATTAATCTGGCATTCAAATCTCGACACCGATTTTTTGGTCGAAATTCATGTCCAAATCTCACCCCAAGATTCGCATATAGACATGGGTCAAAATTTACCACCCCCATATCTCGGTCAAATCTCATCCGATTTTCACGAAGTTTGGCTTTTTCTTCATGGTTTTCCCTCTAAATTAATCTGGCATTCAAATCTCGACACCGATTTTTTGGTCGAAATTCATGTCCAAATCTTACCCCAAGATTCGTATATAGACATGGCACAAGAATTACCACACCCATAACTTGGTCAAATCTCATCCGATTTTCACGAAGTTTGGCTTTTTCTTCATGGTTTTTCCTCTAGATTAATCTGGCAATCAAATCTCGACACCGATTTTTTAGTCGAAATTCATGTCCAAATCTTACCCCAAGATTCGTATATAGACATGGCTCAAAATTTACCACCCCCATATCTCGGTCAAATCTCATCCGATTTTCACGAAGTTTGGCTTTTTCTTCATGGTTTTCCCTCTAGATTAATCTGGCATTCAAATCTCGACACCGATTTTTTGGTCGAAATTCATGTCCAAATCTTACCCCAAGATTCGTATATAGACATGGGTCAAAAATTACCACACCCATAACTCGGTCAAATCTCATCCGATTTTCACGAAGTTTGGCTTTTTCTTCATGGTTTTCCCTCTAGATTAATCTGGCATTCAAATCTCGACACCGATTTTTTGGTCGAAATTCATGTCCAAATCTTACCCCAAGATTCGTATATAGACATGGCACAAGAATTACCACACCCATAACTTGGTCATATCTCATCCGATTTTCACGAAGTTTGGCTTTTTCTTCATGGTTTTCCCTCTAGATTAATCTGGCAATCAAATCTCGACACCGATTTTTTAGTCGAAATTCATGTCCAAATCTTACCCCAAGATTCGTATATAGACATAGGTCAAAAATTACCACACCCATAACTCGGTCAAATCTCATCCGATTTTCACGAAGTTTGGCTTTTTCTTCATGGTTTTCCCTCTAGATTAATCTGGCATTCAAATCTCGACACCGATTTTTTGGTCGAAATTCATGTCCAAATCTTACCCCAAGATTCGTATATAGACATGGCACAAGAATTACCACACCCATAACTTGGTCAAATCTCATCCGATTTTCACGAAGTTTGGCTTTTTCTTCATGGTTTTTCCTCTAGATTAATCTGGCAATCAAATCTCGACACCGATTTTTTAGTCGAAATTCATGTCCAAATCTTACCCCAAGATTCGTATATAGACATGGCTCAAAATTTACCACCCCCATATCTCGGTCAAATCTCATCCGATTTTCACGAAGTTTGGCTTTTTCTTCATGGTTTTCCCTCTAGATTAATCTGGCATTCAAATCTCGACACCGATTTTTTGGTCGAAATTCATGTCCAAATCTTACCCCAAGATTCGTATATAGACATGGGTCAAAAATTACCACACCCATAACTCGGTCAAATCTCATCCGATTTTCACGAAGTTTGGCTTTTTCTTCATGGTTTTCCCTCTAGATTAATCTGGCATTCAAATCTCGACACCGATTTTTTGGTCGAAATTCATGTCCAAATCTTACCCCAAGATTCGTATATAGACATGGCACAAGAATTACCACACCCATAACTTGGTCATATCTCATCCGATTTTCACGAAGTTTGGCTTTTTCTTCATGGTTTTCCCTCTAGATTAATCTGGCAATCAAATCTCGACACCGATTTTTTAGTCGAAATTCATGTCCAAATCTTACCCCAAGATTCGTATATAGACATAGGTCAAAAATTACCACACCCATAACTCGGTCAAATCTCATCCGATTTTCACGAAGTTTGGCTTTTTCTTCATGGTTTTCCCTCTAGATTAATCTGGCATTCAAATCTCGACACCGATTTTTTGGTCGAAATTCATGTCCAAATCTTACCCCAAGATTCGTATATAGACATGGGTCAAAAATTACCACACCCATAACTCGGTCAAATCTCATCCGATTTTCACGAAGTTTGGCTTTTTCTTCATGGTTTTCCCTCTAGATTAATCTGGCATTCAAATCTCGACACCGATTTTTTGGTCGAAATTCATGTCCAAATCTTACCCCAAGATTCGTATATAGACATGGCTCAAGAATTACCACACCCATAACTCGGTCAAATCTCATCCGATTTTCACGAAGTTTGGCTTTTTCTTCATGGTTTTCCCTCTAGATTAATGTGGCATTCAAATCTGAACACCGATTTTTTGGTCGAAATTCATGACCAAATCTTACCCCAAGATTCGTATATAGACAGGGGTCAAAATTTACCACACCCATAACTCGGTCAAATTTCATCCGATTTTCACGAAGTTTGGCTTTTTCTTCATGGTTTTCCCTCTAGATTAATCTGGCATTCAAATCTCGACACCGATTTTTTGGTCGAAATTCATGACCAAATCGTACCCCAAGATTCGTATATAGACATGGGTCAAAAATTACCACACCCATAACTCGGTCAAATCTCATCCGATTTTCACGAAGTTTGGCTTTTTCTTCATGGTTTTCCCTCTAGATTAATCTGGCAATCAAATCTCGACACCGATTTTTTAGTCGAAATTCATGTCCAAATCTTACCCCAAGATTCGTATATAGACATGGCTCAAGAATTACCACACCCATAACTCGGTCAGATCT